GCGGATCAAGGTTCGCACAAAGATCGCAACTAACCGTACATCAACGCACTCACAGTGGCGAGAAGCCCTATAGGTGCGAGGTATGTTGGAAAGCGTTTGCACACTCTACCGCCCTTAAGTTGCATACCCGAAAGCACACAGGCGAAAGCCCTTCAAGTGCGTGCTGTGTGAAGCCAGCTTCACGCAGTTGCCGCATCTCAAGAAACACATGCTGTGCATTCACAAAAGTAGCAAGCCGTACGTCTGTAGATATTGCAAGTCGTTTCATCAGACGAAGATGGACCTAGAGGCTCACTATGTCGCATGTAAACATTACGCGGAACCTAAGATGCCGGACGTCAAGCTTAACGACAAAGTCCTGGAGACTCCGATGCCTGTAGAGAAAATGAGATTCTTGCTGGCGATTTTATTGAAAAAGATCTCTGTGCCAGAGAGACTGCAGGAGTTGGGATTTGATAAAAAGTTGATCGATGATGTACTGATAGAATCCATAAAGAATTCGGGAAGAGAACCCTGCACAAATTCTGAGTTGTCCGTAGGAGAACGATTGAAGAAGAATGTCACGATTCTTCTAGAATGGACTGTTCCGAAGTCGTATATGGAAAGTTCAAGCTGGAACGTCGTTCAACAGAAGAGTTGCTGGAAGAACTGACTTCATAGAAATTTGAAGTAACTAAAAAGCAGGTCGTGGAAAACTGTATTTTACGGGACAAATAGTTATACTGAAAAAAAAAAACGCACATACCAGATGTCATGTCATACTCTGACTGTTGTCTATAAATCTGAACAGATTCTTTTGATGTCTCCAAAAATGCGGTTATTCTCGACGGCGTTCATTTTTCTATTAATGCATCTAAGCAATTATCAAAATTTTAGTACCTGTAAAATATTGAACCATTAGAATTGATATACTATTTTTACTACAAAATCTCTTCGGTAGTTTTAGTCACATTTACTTGCCTCTACTATACCAAAGGTTGTAGCTATTAGTAGTTAGTACTGTGATGAAAGCATGGTCGTTCTGACTTTCTTGATTCAATTTCGCGTTTTTATTTTTTTTTAGGGCGTTTGACTGCTGTTTTGTCATAGTAAGGTGCGTAGTTTTCTGGGATTGTGAACCACATCCTTTTATAGATATTAATTATACTTTAATTTGTGATATAACTAAACTCCTGAATAATAGAAATCATATACCCCATTAGTCAAATAATAGCAATCCAAATTCCACAGACTTTGATAGTGATACAACTTGAATATTTGAAGTTTTTAACATCTGATATTTGAATAAAAAAAGGAGCTGTAATACCATTTTGGAAGTTTAGTTATTTCAACAAGACTGCAATGATTAAGAAGTTTCGTGCTGCAAATGTAATTTCGTACTATGTTTACTTTTTGTATCTGCCTTTATTGAGTTACCAAAGATTAGTGCAAAAATATAGTTTAAGTTTTGTTGGTATTAGAGATATATATTTTTCTTATGTATTTGGCCGACTGTAACACCAAAAACTAGGTGTAGTCGACCTTTGGGGTTTGTTCAGAAAACAATGTAATTCTTTTCTATTTTCATCAGAGGTTAGCAGTGAAAATAGTGTGTATTATTAATATTGCTACTGGAAGAAAAATTAGCAGCATTTTCACAAAAACTTATTTTCTTAGAGAGTGTTATATACTGCCATATATTATCACATTTAATTGTTTGGTCATTTTTTTGATTGAAACTGCTTGCTATAAAATATTTGGACCGTATTTACACATTCTTAATTTCTGTAATCTTTTCTTGTTTCCTATATATGTGTGCCATAAATGATTTTGAATTTCCTTGTTTACTTTTATACAAAAACTGATTTTAGTTAGCCTTGTTAGATACCTATTCGTAATAAAAAGTAGAGAAATAAATACCTATGTTAGAAATGCAGTTTCACTTGAAAAACACGCAACATGTGCATTACCTGCCCAATTTTTGGGAAGTCTGGCTTACAGAGTACACTCCCATTTATAAAACCGTTGTTTGAGACATAATTGAAGATAACCTACCATATACTGTATTTCGGCGTACAAAAAGAAACCTGAAAGAAACTGGCGCACCGTTTATTATCTACATACATTATGCGTTATATGCTCCAATAAGACAGAGTCTATCCTAAACCTTTTAAAGTAAGTTCTTTAAAAAAAAAGCCGAAAATTGGCAAATCACGAGGACCTCTGATTTCATTTTGTTCTTAAACACACAATGATTAAAAAAAGAGGCTGCACTCAACTACTGCTACACGGAGATCAAAACGGATCGCTTTCTTCTCAATAATGAAGATTCTATTTCATAAGAGTTAATTTATTTTCGGATTGGCTATACTAACCTAGATTTAGAGCTGCAAACTGTTTGAATTTCCGATTACCTCATCGATGTTGCAGTAGGTTTTCTAGAGGTTGTACAACTGCAGTTTTTGATACCGTATAATATCCCTAATAATGTGAGATAACACACAAATGAATTTAGAAATCTACTGAAAAGAGGTTAGCGGATTTGCTTCTACCATTGTCTCATAGATGGCACTAAGATCTGCAATCCCGCTTTCGGCTCTCTAATGCATATTTTGAGTAGCTAGCGCCATCTGAGGGACAGACGCAGAACCAAACACTCTCTTTCAAAGTAGATTTCTAAATTCATTGTTGTGTTTTGCTACTGCCTCATAGATAGCGCTAGGGTCTTTCGGATCTCTCGCTGTATGGACAGCTATCTTCAATTAGAATGCGTCAATGGAAAAAAGAAAGAAAACGATCCCATATTACGGAACCTTTCGGGACATTTAGGAGTTTTTCAAACGGATAAACGTGTAATATGTTCTTAACACCTACATTTATTGTGGTAACTGAGCATTTTGCAATATTTGGTATGTCTTTAGTCTTACGGTAAGGGAAGCACACGAATTGCAATCTATTTCCATGCGACTGCAAAAGGCTTGTTTAACGGCACATTTAAACGATCAACGGTTAATACCTAAAATCGAAAAAAAAGTTCATTCGTGGGATGGAAATTAAAAAAAAAGGCTAACAACTTACTCTGTTGATCGTATCATATTTGAAGGGTGTAGTAGTGACGCCATTCACAGTAACTTGTTTCACGGGGATTCTAACACCAAGTACTATAATTTTGCCTAGGTTTGGCGGAACTTCTATTCCTATGAAATTAATGTTACTTCTCAATGTATTTCCTTGCAATGCGAATGATATGAGTGAATATCGTTTTTCTTCATAGGAATCTGGAAACAGACGGTAAAAACGATCATGATGGTTTTATTAAAGAGGAGGTATACAGAGGAAGGACACTGCGGGTCGCCTCCATTGACTTTGTCTCTTCAAATTGGTTTACATTTTTTCTGTTTATTTATGGGTACCGTCACGCCCGAGAGGCTGATTCTGTCACATTTGTCATGGAATTGAAGTGAATCTTAAATATGGATGAATAATATGAAGTATTTACTGTTTTACTAAAAGTTCTAAATTACCTACACAAAGAACTATGGGTAGACCTCAGGACCGTATTATTTCCCAAAATAAGGTTGCGGGTAAAGAGGTTTACGAGGGAACAACGATATTTTATGAGGAAATTTCTGAGATAGTCGTTGATAAAATATTACATTACATTAGTGTCCAAAAGGTTTCAACACAACACTGAGTCCAGAAAGTAATAGGATTTATTTTCTTTCGCCATGACTGTACTTCGGAGCGTGCGCTCACCGACTGGATTCGGTAGAGGGCGTTCCTAGCTAAGAAATGAGCGGCTGGTCAGTTGTCTCCGAGCACTTGGAGAGTCAGGACAGGCATTTTCGCGCGACGTGTTTCTGTGAGTGGTGCAAGCCAAAAATGCAGCGTTCGTTAGAGCAGAGCTATGCGATTAAATTCTGTGTGAAACTCGGTAAATCTGCGACAGAGACGTTTGATATGATAAAGCAGGCTTACCCAGGTGTTGCTTTAGCAAGAAGTAATGTGTTTCGGTGGGACCAAGCCTTTTTGGAGTGCCGGGACGAGGTCGCTGATGAAGACCTTCGACTTCGACAAACACCGATAATGTGACCCGTGTGCGCAAAGTTTTGAACTCAGACCGTCGACTAAGTATTCGTTTAATTGCCCAGATGTTAAATTTACCTAAATCTGTGGTTCATCACATTGTGACAGCATTTGAACATGGGCAAGGTGTGCGCGATGATGGTCCCAAAAGTGCTCACTGACGACCAGAAATTGCGGCGAGTGGAAGTGTACCAAGAAAATTTGAACATGTGTGAAAGTGACCCCCAATTTTTGACTAACGTAATCACAGGGGACCAGTCGGGGATCTTTGAGTTTGATCCCGAGACAAAGAGGCAATCTTCCGAGTGGCACACGACGGCGTCTCCTCGCCCAAAAAAGGAAAAATTAGCAAATCCAAAGTGGAAACGATGCTCATTGTCTTTTTTGACATCAAAGACATCGTCCACCATGAATTTGTTCCTCCTGGACAAACCGTCAACGCCAAGTTTTACGTGGAAGTGCTCAGGAGACTCAAACGAAGGGTCAGTCGGGTCCGACAAGACATCGCAGCCAACTGGAAGTTGCACCACGACAACGCCCCGGCTCACACCGCCTTTCTTGTGAACAGCTACCTGACCAAGGCCGGCATCCCAACGCTTCCGCAGCCGCCCTACAGCCCAGATGTGGCCCCCCGGACTTTTTTTTGTTTCCTCGCCTGAAAAGGCCCATGAAAGGCAAGCATTTTGAGACGACAGAGGGGATCCAAGCAGCATGCACCGCCGCTCTCGAGGCTATTCCGGAGAATGCCTTCCGTGACGCCTTCAATGCTTGGAAATCACGCTGGCAGCGCTGCATCGACGCAGAAGGAGCCTATTTTGAAAGTTTTTAAAGAATTGTAACGATTGGCTCAATAATTTTTTTTAAATCGACTCAGTCCTATTACTTTCCGGACAAACCCTGTAATATGTGTGAAATCATACTTTCAGGATTGGGTAGTTTCGAGCTCATCAGATCAATAAATTATGAAATTCTAAAAGAAAATCATTGAAAAGGGTTTGGCCTATGAATCGGTAATCTATCATTAATAAACGGAAAAGCAAGTAAGCGATCAAAATGTAAAAAAAAGATTACGTGATTTTTGCACGTAACACACAACCAGAGCTGTTTGCGAAAAGAATTCGTGTTACCGCTGTTTTACTTACTCAGAGAATCTCCGTCATCCCAGTACAACTGACCCAAACTGAGTCCATTCGCGTCACTTGCAACCAATAACTGCATCTTTGTCATTCTCGAAAGCGTCGTAGTGCTCATTGGTGCTTGCATCGGTAAAATATGACCGCCTCTTATCATCAAGGGGATTTCGTCCAGTGGGGCAGACAAGTTGAACATAGTACCAGCACTTATTATTTCCGATCTTGAGTAGAAGTCGTACCAAACACCTTTTGGCAAATACGCGTTTACGAAGATATGGTTCTCCTAAAATTCGATGGTTTATGAATCGTTTGTATCATTAGAGAGTTTTTAGTGCTCTGGGCATCCGCATCAGCGAGTATGTTTAGCAAGCAACTTGAGAGATAAGAAAAATGGGCGCCGACGGGATTCGAACTTACATCTGCTACCTTCCGTGCAATTCTCGCCAATCAACTTTCAGAATCGACTGTTACGGGTAAATTTAATCGCCACGCAACGGCTCCCTTGATCTCTCGAGCTGCCTTGGTGCCCCATCTGGCGGCGTTCAAGTGAAACAACCGGATTGGTAAGGTATCTCCAATCGCTTTCTAGTTGCACCACGCTACCTCGTGGGCACTTACCACGGTACCACCGTCTGAGGACGGTATACCTATACGATTATTCGGAATGTTTATGCTGGGTACCTTCTGGTAGAATACGAATTTATGAACGTGTTTAGTGCACACTTACTTGTAAAACTGGGATGATCATCAAAGCTGGTCCCCACAAAAACTGAGTGTCAATGGCATATGTTTTTGGATCATCGGTGAATCTGTAAAAAAGTAATATGTTTCACGAAATTTCATTGTTTTTCTCTTTTCTGTGCAGATTTAGTATCCTTGCACAACTTTTGAGGGAAATATGTACATAGTCGTGCCATAAGTTCTGTCCCATGATAATCTCATGATAAAAATGAAACAAGATAAGATATATGTATATGAAAGATATTATTTATTCGACAACATTTTTAGAATTCATAATCAAACAGTTTTATTCAAAATGTCCCCCCTTGGCCTTCACACACTGCTTCAATCTCGCGGGCCACTCATCTATCACTGCACGCACAGCTTCCAAAGGAATAGCTGCCGCTGATCGGATCAAATCCGCTTTCAGGGACTCGATATTACGGTGGGCTTTGGAGCAGGCCAACTGTTCTAGCAGGTCCCACAACTTGTAGTCTAAAGGATTGAGGTCCGGACTCCCTGAGGGCCAATCTTCCGTAGCAATGAACTCTGGCACATTGCTTTCCAGCCAGCGCTGCGTACTCTTAGCCTTGTGAGCGGGGGCGGAATCCTGCTGGTAGACCCAGTGTTGGTTGGCAAACAATGTACCACTTAAAGGCTTGACGATAGGATCCAGTATGTCGCTCTGATAGTTTGCCGCTTTTGTTTTCACGCCCTGTTTACAGAAATGGAGCTGAGTGACCCCTTCGTAGGACACCCCCCACCAAACCATGACTGACGCAGGGTGGTGGCCTCTCTCAACTCTCGGAATGATCTCCGAAGCTTCCTGTGAACTCCTTGCATACACTTTGTCATTTTGTCGGTTGAATTTTTCTTCTATGGTGAAGATTTTCTCATCCGTGAACAAAATCTTTCGGAATCCCCCAGCTGCGTACCTCTCCAAGAGCTTCTTGGATCTTGTCGCCCTGATGTGTCGCAAGGTGGCCGTAAGTCGCTGGCCCGTACGTCTCCGGTAAGCCCCTAGCCCTAGGTCTTGTTTAATGATGCGCGACATCGTCCGGACAGGAATCTTCATTTCCCTGGATAGGATCTTCTGCTTCCGGAGTGGATTCCTTTGAATCCTGGCTTTTACGGCTTTGATGGCTGCTGGAGTCCTTACTTGACGAGGTCTTCCGCTTCTTGGCCTGTCATCAACAGAGGACGTCTCATTGTACCGCTGAATGGTCCTAGACACAAATTTACGCGATATTTGAAGGCCGCGTAAGAGTTGAAAAATCTGACTAGCACTGTGATTACACTTATGTAAAGCTATCACTGCAATACGGTTCTCTGCCTTGCCCCACTCCATCGTTATGCTTCGAGAGATCAATACAAACTGAGGTATATGTAATTACCCGAAAAGCGCTTAATCAACTGACACCACAATGTAAACAATCGGACAAGTATTAACAGGTCTACACTTGTTTGAAAACGAGGGACAGAACTTATGGCATGACTACGTATTATATGTTGAATGTTTTAAAAACTGTTTTGATAACGTTAATAAGAAGAATACGATGATAATATAATTTATTATACATAGAGTAATAATACTCACTCGAAAAACAGCGGTCTCGAGACTGTCTCGCCATATTTGTAGGCTTTGAAAAACAATGTGTAAAGATAAGGAAGCAAGGAATATCGAATCCTCAAGGCGTTCTTTGATGAAGAAACCACCAAATTCCCCATGGCCACGGGATCTTGATCCTACAAAAGATAAAAAAAGTCATCATGACAATGGATTTGGCAATGGAAGTTCATGTGGTGCAACTCACAATTCCATCGTCCGTGTTGTGATTCCTAGAAAATGGATAGAAGGCTCCTAGTTGCATCCAACGGTTGCATAAGCTTGCTGTCGTATTTCCATTGAAACCACAAATATCGGCGCCCATCAAAGGTACACCAAACAGACTGAAGCTCAGTAATTCTGGAAATATACCACACAAAAACACTTCAGTAACTAAGATTTTTCTTATCAGAGCAACCGCGTCCCGAGACTGTCCGTTAGAGAATAGCCCTCTTCTGAACAGTATCGAACATGAGAGCGGTTTTAGAGGCGAATAACTATTTTTTCCTGGCAGTTATGAATATTAACCGATATACATAGATTAGAGAGTATACCTGGGATTGTGTATCTCATATCTGCCCATGCTGACCAAACATCCCCGCTCCAGTGCCCTGTATAATGGCCTTGTCCAGAGAACGTTGACCTTGATATCACCATAGGTCTTTTCCCCCTGATTTCCGCCATGGCACTAAAATAGAAGTGCGGAAGGTCAATAACATCAACAATTATCATTCGAAATATACATCGAGGGATGTCTTTTAAGTTTTGCATATAGGAACATAGTAGGCCGCGCGGGTCGAACGTCAGTACTGAATCTTAACCTCACTCTTTAGTAAACTTAAATTCAAGGTTTCACAACAGTACGAGCAGTGTTTTTACTACAGTGAATTTTTAAGTGTCACCAAGTCATTAGAAAAATGGAACTCAACCGAGAAAATTTTCGCGCCATAATTAATTACAACTTTCAAAGACAATTATCGCAACAAGAATGCCTTGCTGAGTTACTGTCTGTTTCCGGCAACGAAGCGCCACATCTGTCGACAATTTCCCGTTGGTATGGAGAATTCAAACGTGGACGGGTGAGTCTTAGCAACGATCCCAGGGTGGGTGCGCCAAAAACGGCAGTCACCCAGGAAAACGTCGATGCTGTGCGCGAACTCATCATTGAAGATAGACATGTGACACTTCGCGAGATTGAGGCGTCCTTGAAGATCTCAAAGACCTCAATCCAAAAAATTTTACATGAAGAATTAGGAGTAAGAAAATTAGCTTCTCGTTGGATACCCCACCTGTTGACTGAAGAGCAGAAAGCAGCCAGGGTTAATTGGTGTCAAAAAACGCTTGACCGTTTCAATTTCCGAAACTCAAAAAATGTGTACAGCATTGTTAGTGGTGATGAATCGTGGATTTACTGTTATGAACCAAAAACTAAACGACAGTCGGCTGTTTGGGTGTTCCTAGGTGAAGAACAGCCAACAGAAGTCATCCGTTCTCGAAGTGTTTCGAAAAAGATGGTCGCGACATTTGTGTCAAAAGAGGGTCATATTGCAACAATTCCTCTTAATGAGCAAAGAACTGTTACTGCGGATTAGTATACCACCATTTGTTTGCCCGAAGTCATCACCGAGCTTCGAAAAATCAACCCCGAAAGAAGAATCATCCTCCATCAAGACATTGCAAGCTCGCACACAGCCCAAAAAACAAGGCAGTATTTAACGGAAGAAAACGTGGAATTATTGGACCATCCTCCATATAGTCCCGATCTAAGTCCTAACGATTTCTTTACTTTCCCGAAAATTAAAAACAGACTGCGTGGTCAAAGGTTCCAGTCACCAGAAGAAGCAGTTGACGCATTCACAAATGCCGTTTTGGATCTGCCAGCAAACGAGTGGAATAAGTGCTTCGAAAATTGGTTCGAGCGCATGCAGATGTGTATTAATCTTCGTCGAGAATACTTCAAAAAACAATAAAGTCATTTAAAACTACCTACCGTGTTGTTTTATTTCCATATGCAAAACTTAAAAGACATCCCTCGTATGTGCTGGAAGAAAATGTGATGTATTGAAGTTTCTATTCGATCCCTCGGAAACGGAGTGAGATACGATGAGGTATCAAGTTGTATCATTAGCTGCTCAGTAAGAAAAAACATATTTATCTGAAAAAACGTTGGTGTACATTTTTTGTCAATATTATTTGTGAGACTGTCCCCTTAGACGCCACTGGATTTCATAATTATTATCTACATAAAAATAGCTAAATGATGTCTAAACCAGCTCGCGAAAACAGCATCCTGTTCCTAACCTAAAATTTAGGCCAAATACAATTTTGTATGGAAATCCCTTATATTTTTATTTTTTAAACTAATTTTAATTTATAACATATATGTATAACATCCAAAAACATCGTTTTCGAAAATTTTCACAATTATAATACTTCTCGCCAGTGGCGCAGGAAGTGGAAATATTTTGTATTGCGTGCAGGATATAATAACTTGTGAACCTGTAACTTACAAGCTAGAAATGACACCTTCAGTGAACCCAAAGAGATTGTGGACATTATAGTGCAAGCCTGCGTAGTGCTGTGCGCTCATACACATTGTTTTATAGTTTAAAGCACCACCGTCTACACCTGGCAAATACGGTGGAGTTTCTAGCGAGGACCTTGGGCAACCTGAAAAGGAACCTAAAACCAATCCAATTACGACTCTGTGTGTAAAAAAAAAAACAGTAATTATTGCTTACAAATATTACTCCTACAGGGTATTTCTTAATGGCATGCTAATATTCGAGAAAATAATTCATATGAACGTATGTCCTAAGCGTCTTGACCTTGGAGATAGCGGGCGGTAAAGTTTTCAGAAAAAATCTGCATTTTATAAGAGCAATAAACGCGACAAGAAAATTTTTGGTCAAATTCGGAACTTCGCAACTTTTTATCACCTCGATTTTATTGATTTTTTCTGCAAGCGGTAGGTACACTCATTGGCATAAACATGCATATATGAGTTCTTGATTGTACCTACGGTTTGACTTGTTGTACAGGGCAAATCAAAATGAAGTTTCACTACAACTTTGAGTCACTCTGTGATGTCAATCAGACTGAAATGCTTTCCGTTATCAAGAGCCCTATTTTCTCTATAATCTGGTTTTTTATTCACGACAATATATAAAGTGGTTGAAGTTTAGACAAGATTTTTGGCGTGCGTAGGGGTTTTTGCATTCAATATTTTTATACAAAAAATCATCAATAAGAAAAAAAATTATTTGAGCAGATAGCAGTGGCATACCATTTTTTTCCACAAAAAATATTCAATGCAGAACTGTACGTATGCATAGGTGATGTGTAGCTAATTTCATATATATCTACAGTATTACCACAGTTATCATAAAATACATACCATACCATTAAAACAGAACTATACCATGTCAAAAACAGTAATTGTACCCGTCCGCAGATAAAACAGTTCCGCCCAATAGAGATAGGAGCGTACAACATAGACAACTTTTTTAATCGATCGTTTTCGGTATTCTCCGTAGGCTAGACAAGGGATACTTTTGCGCGAGACGAGCTTCATTACGCCATATAGAATATACAAGCAAAAGTTGGGGCATGGAATAGTTCTGCTCTTCGTTTGTTTATATTTTTTTCTTAAAATGGGTCTATGAATTACCTCTTTAAATATTAACATGTAATTGAGGAACACCCTGTAAAGAGAAACATTCTAAAATAGATCACATGAAAAATGATAGAGGCTGTAAAAAAACGTCACTAGCATTACGCTCTATTTAATAACTTAGAGAATCTATATTCTGAGTATCCGAAAATCACCTGAAAGGAAATTAGACGGCTCATTCATGTCTATCCAAAGTCCGTCAAATTCAATTTGTCCGTGCAAATTCCTAAGCATCTGTGTCCAATAGTTCACAGTATTGGGATGCGTGAAATCGGGCCATACAGTTGATTTGGAATTCCATACCTAGGGAAACACGTTTTACTTCACTAGTTTCACTATAGACTGAAATACCTACCTTTCCGATAAATGGCTGGCCGGAGGAATTTTTCACAAAAATATCCATTTTTATGCCAGTATCGTATGGTGGGTAGGTATCTGAGGAAAAACACAACTGTTTAGCAGTAGTGACAAGACTTATGATATGCTTAAAATTTGAAAACGAGGTCAAGTAAAAATTGCATTTGAATTTCTCAAGTACCTTTTTCTACACTTATTTTGAAAAAGAGCACTTACTGGGTATTTCACTTGCGCTGATGCCAGGATCCATAAGAGGAATATAATGCATCCCTCTGTTATGCAGATCTTTCACAAACTTCGGAAGACCACCGAATTTCGATTTATCATACGTGAAGTCGTTGTGGTTGTCCATGTAGTCTAGATCATTCCACTGTGTGTCCTGGAATAACAAAACTGTCCATAGATCTGTCGGAAAACACAGAAAGAAAGATTTGCTCTCGTGGGATTCGAACCTTGCTAATCAAACCTGTATAACTACTACTACTACTACAGGGTGCGGCAGAGAGGACGGACGTTTTTGGGATGGGTAGTACTCTCCGCCTGCGTCTACGAGAGAGGTGGGGAGGGTGCCGTTCGACTCGTGAGATCCTAGCATCGTTTTACCAGTTGTCGTTATGATTGTTTCGTCCGAAATAATGAGTCAGTCATCGTCGTACAGCGTGAGTTTCGTCGCCACTTCAACATTCATCGGAACAGAGCTGTTCCCTCTCGAAACACCATCCTTCGTTGGGTTGAATCACTTCGAAGGCGTGGTGAACTGATCAACAGAAGACCAAGAGGAGCGCCGCGAACAGTTCGAACTCCTGAAAATGTTGAACGCGTTCGACAGGTCTTTCTTCGAAGTCCGACTCGATCTGCCCTGAAACATGCTGCTGCACTTCGCCTTAGTGATCGTTCGGTAAGGCGAATTTTGCATATGGATCTCCGCTTTCACCCCTACAAATTGACCATTGTGCAACAGTTACAGCCCGGAGATTATGCACAACGAATGAACTTCGCACGTGAGATGGAAGCACTGATCGATCAAAATGAGAACCTCATTTTGTTTATGAGTGACGAAGCCCACTTTCACAAGCCCCGAACTCTGGACGAATTGAAGGGCGAAATTCGCGTGGAAGTCGCCCAAGTTGAGAGAGCGATGTTGGAGAGAGTCTACGCGAACTTCCAAGAACGCCTCCAGCACTGCATCAACGATTTCGGCCACCACATGCCTGATGTGATTTTCCACACTTGACTGTCTCAAATGCTATTTCCTTGTGAACCTGATTCCATCAATAAATTTGTTTTCGAGTAAAAATTAACTGTTTTATGATTTTTTTAAAACCGTCCTGTATAAGTAGGATATATCTGCAAGGAAAAACGAGTATTTTTATTGTTTGTGAACTTACAAGTGGTATACCAGCTTTGATGTTTCTCTCCATCACTTTCTTTGTATCATTCAACGAATTGTAGCCAAATCTGCACAAATGGAATCCGAGAGCCCAATACGGAGGCATGAATGGTCTCCGCACCAATTCTGTGTATTGACTAACTACGTCTGATGGAGTAGGGCCCATGAAGAAGTAGAAATCTAAGACACCTCCAATCGTTCTGAATGTTATGGCGGGTGCAGGTTGGAGAATTATATCTACAAGAAAAAAGTTTGTACATGGCATGTCAAAATATAACTCCCGGGATTAGCACTAGCAATGTCATAAAATATACTTTCTGTAGTGTTTATAGAAATGGTGACATACCCATAGCATTGCTGTTAAGGAGAAATACACCATGGCTTTTGGAAGAATTTTCCAGCAGCAAGTAAAATGGATGACTACCATACCCGTTTTTCTAAAACAAAAAACGATACGCTAAAAACCTTACTATCTCAAAAATTCGTCGAATGTTTTTCAAAATATTAAAGGAATTGGAACAAAAAAAAGAATCAAAATGCAACAAATTTTTTATGAGCATCATCACTTTTCAATGCAGTAATCGAAAAAATATTCTAAATATTCAAAGGATTACACAGGCCAACATTTGAAAAAGTTTTCAAAAATATTTTTTTTGTTGGCCTGTGTTATATGATTTTATATAAATGGACTGAACTTACATTAAATTGTGGTATGGCATCATGGTTGAACAATGTGAATAGCGACCAGTCTGTTGAAAGCAAAAATGTAGATCTATGTTCCCCAAGTCCATAGATATATTTAGATGGTAACTTTGAGCTTATCTGTATGAATTGATTTGAGTATATCAAATTCTGGAAATTGTTGCTATCAAAACTGGAAATGAATGGTTGGTTAATACATGCTTAATTTTTCTCTATTGAACGTCAAATTTGTAAAGCAAATATTTCATTGTCCGCAAAGTTGGGGTTTTCCTTTACACGACGTGTAAATCTTGAAAACATAAGCAATTTTTCTTAGTACCATATACACCAATGTCTTAAGGGAACCGAGATAAAGGGCTCTGCAACATCAAAAATATCTGAATACCGTCCTGTAGCCGCGACATCCCCGAGTGGTACTAGGACACTAGCTCAACCCGACGACAGAACTGGGTCGGGGTCAGTGTGTCAGGTCAGTATGCAACCTTCAACCGACGGTTACGGTCACGCGTGTAGAGGTAATCGCGTAGACGAGAATCCCTCAACAAGCACTAGAGACGTGGCTAGAGAAGTGCAATTATCAAAAACTAAAGTGTGGCAAACGCTGCGTAAAGAGGGGCTGTATCCGTTTCACGTCCAACGTGTACAAGCCCTTCAACCTGACGATTTTCCAGCAAGAGTGCGGTTTTGTGAGTGGTTGTTGCATCAACATGACAATAATCCGGACTTTTTGAAGTGCATATTGGTGACAGACGAATCTACGTTCACGCGTAATGGGGTGAATAACTTTCGCAACACTCATGTTTGGTCAGTAGAAAATCCGCACGCTGTCAGTCGGGCACATTTTCGGTGAATGTTTGGGCTGGCATGGTGAACGGTATGCTCATTGGACCATTTATTCTCCCACGGGATGCAATACCTAGACTTTTTAAGCAACATTTTGCCTTCCTTGTTTGCCTGCGTTTGCTCGGTAGCGCATCAGCTGATTTCATTTTCTGTTGGACCGGTATGATTTCGGGCAGAGACGTACTTAGCCCTTCTCGTCAACTGGAGAGTGAGTACTTTTTCCTTTATTTTTTTTTTAGTTGGTCGCCCTCGTTTCATTACACATTACCTTTGTTATTTCAAGGGTAGTTGTTTCTAAAAAGGAAAACCCCAACTTTGTGGACACCCTGTATATTTAACTTACATTACAGCTCTATCCTTTTTTTTGGGTGCTTTGACTCCAGGTTCGAAAGAATGTATTTCAAAAATGTAAGATAGTCACTGGTTACTTACATGATAGTTTTATCTTCCTTTCTGAGTACTTTGAATCCAGGTTTTAAAGAATCTATTTCGAAAATATAAGATGGGTTCAGAGCAGCTCCATTGACAATGGGAACCTCAGGGTATGGAGGCTCATATCTTGGAAAGTTTGGATCTATTAACTGTAAAACAAATGTCACCTAGTATTTTCACGCGTTTTTAGTTGCTCAATCTAACCAATGTCACAGATGATTTTGTAATTTATTTGGATATCCAAGAAAGAGGCAGTTAGCATATAATTTTTTAAATACTACCATATGAAAAACCATAAATTTAAGTAATTGTTCGATATACATCAAGTAATATTTTTTAACTAACCTTTATATGCAGTCGTGATTCAGTCTCATATTTAACAATCATCTTAAGTAGTTCAACATCATTTGGATATGTACTGCTGTAATTCCTTTTCAAAAAAGCAACCAGCCCATAGTTTGTTTCTGTGATGTTGACATAACGATACGTGTTATAATTTGGTGGGTAAAAGCAATCTGGTGTATCTAAAGGAGGCTTTTTCAAATGAACATGATGAACAGGAATCCAGCAGCATCCTCTTGCCTCACAGTCTCTTTGGTTTGGACTTTCAGTTGATAGACAGTCGAACCTTTCTGCTTTCGTTACCAACTTGCATTGGTTGTAATCAGGTTTTGGCGGAATTGGAAGTCCATTTGATTTTGTGCTTTCGGTGTGAAAGGCATTCAGCAAATCATGAATCTTTTTGCTCGGTTGGTAATGCTGTTGAAATATAATTTTTTTTAAAGTTAAAATTAACTATTAGAGGAATTTTAGAAATGCATATACAGGGTGTGCACATATTGAAGGGTGTAATCCTGCAACTAGGTTATATAATGATCTACTGTTTGAAAATATTTTGTCAAAAGTCTCATTGTTTTTGAGATATACAGCAATCAATTTTTTTTAGCAAAAATCAGGACCTGTGTAATTAAATTATTGTCATTTCTACAAATATCAAATTTTTTGAGCCAGGTTTCATTCAAAATATTAACAGTTGACACAGCCCTATACTGTTTTGAGGTTTCCTGTGAGTATAACATAAGAAAAACACTGGACTTAAAGGAGGTGTTCATCAATCTATTTTATATTTTTTGCCCTAATAGTCTCAAAGTATTTTGAGGTCTTTAATGGGAACATTTTCAAATCCTCCTACATCTTGACCAAAACCTGTTTCCTGGATACATGTGATGTGTAGATATTGAATCCCACAACAATTTGATACTATGACCCACAGTTGTTCTGTGAGACACATTTGACACAAAGATGTAATTGGGGCCTTTTTCTACCTCACATTTACAATAATTATCATTTTTTGACGTATTATATTTGCATTCAGTGTTACAAATGGATGAAGCTTCAATAGCTTGTAACAATGGAACATAAAAATGATAACTTTAGACTACTTCCTATATCCTATATTTTAAGATTTCCTATCCGATAATTTTTAAAGACAGTATATCTATGACCTTGATGAAACATCATCTTGAACAAATGAATGCACAGACTTCAAATCTGGCATTAGCTTGAGGCTAAGGCCTGTATCATCAGTCGTCCCTACAATAATTGTAGGGCGCATTTATGGCCTCCTTGATTGTCATACTCTTTTCTCTCCTTCAAACATTTCTAGATTACACTCATCCCATGTCAGTGTCAGCGCTCTCCTATTGTTAAGATCTGTTTTAAATTTTTTTCTTAAAAAATTAATTTTCTTTTTAAATTGTAGAAAATTTCAGGCTGATAAAACATGATATAACTCAAAAACAAGCACAATTTGATGCAAATTGATGTTTGTGACATAACCTCAAAATAGAGCGCTGACAGGGAGAAGTAGAAAACTATGACAATCAAGGAGGCCATAAAGGCGCCCTACAATTATTGTAGGGACGACTGACGATACGGGCCTAAGACACTCAAGAGGTACTCAAATGCATTTTCCACTACTATAGTGGACATTCTATAGTGTTATTAATTTCAGATTTAATTCCATATCAACTTACTACTTCATCCAGCCTTCGTTCATATATCAAGTTGAAGCAGCTAAGTAAATATATTATAGGAAGAACTATAAACACAGCCAACAAGGCAAGAAGCAGTATTATTGTTGTCAAGCTAGGGCAGGAGCTCTTTCTTTCTACACTCTCTACTTCAATTGACTCGTTTGAGTCACTGCGGAAATTTGGAAAATCATCGATATCTTTTGCTCCAGACTCGGTGACATCGTCATAGAGAGCTTGTGTGTCTGGTTGAGATAAGAGTTTTGCTCTTCTCAGTAAAACGGAATTAACGACATTTTTGATTCTCATCTTGGAAATTGTGGATGCACTGTTCACTGAACTGGCGAACTCATTCTTATTTAACTTGATTCCTTGGCGATTTTATACGTAAAATCGATGCCTTTCACGAGAACGTTGAGTAAAATTGCGGTGATCGAAATTAGAAAAACCGTTGACAAAACAAAACACCATCACAACAATCCAATCATAACCCCACTTTTGTCTGTCATTGTCATTTCTGAAAAGGGAAAAGTATGTGGAGAATAGAAACCACATCGTGTAAAAACAGAAAGATTTAGAAGGAGCGTTATATCGCTACCATGTTCTAGGCTGTATATATACATATGAGCAGTAGTCATTGCCAAAGCCAACGATCAGTTGGGCACAAAATACAATTAATTGTTAATTGGGAAAATGGCAAATTGTTAGGCTTTAGTTGACTCTTTTGACGATAAAATCAAGCTTTCGGCATTCTCTATGGACTCTTCATCGGGATTTAGAAAACACAATTGTGATGCTAGCAAAAGAATACAGAACAGATTTAAATTGTCAAACAACTTACTCTTCGTTAAGGTTGCAGCCACAAGGTGTTTCAAAACGAACGCAGAAAAGATAGAACTTGTAATAAGAATAAAAACAAGCCTAAAAATTTGCCAATTTCCCAATTAACAATTAATTGTATTTTATATATACAGGTATATATATATATATATATATAGGTGAAAAATTAACTTGTCTTGTCATATTTTATATAATTTTAACCATTGTACCATGTATCCAGCTCTCACCATGTTACTGGACGTTTCCCTCATCCTATACGAAAACAACAATTAGCAACATCCTCACATACTACTCTCCTGATGATGATGGCAAAGTCCATTGAAAGCTAGAGAGAATTAAAAAAAGTATAAAGAGTCCTCTTTGCTTAAATTTTGTCGAAGTACCCAACAAAAGGCGGAAGCTTTAATTTTTCACCTAACTGGTCTAGACGACAATGACCACGTCTCAATATATATATATTGAATAGACTGAATACAAAACACAAGTACTGAAATGTCAAAATTTACCTCAATCTTTCAAATCCCAGCACAAATCAACAAACTTTTAGCACAGAACTAGCCTTTGTGGCAATAGTGCCATTAAATGTATTAATTCTAAGAAATATCCCTATATTCCAAGTTTGCCTACATGACCAAAAGTCGGGTTTATAATCCCAGAGTTAAACCTTGACGGTACAAAGCTACCTGAATTTAACCTGGGGTTACCGCTAATTCCGAGTCAAGTAACCCTCACCTTTAACCCAAAGCGGTGCAAACCACCGTCAAAGAAACAATGTGGGTCAATTTCACCTATATTCTCCCAATTTTCCTAATAAGCTCAGTATACTTAGAACAGCAACAATATTGGAAGCATTTTTTTAATACTCTTGATGCCTACTTTAGTTTTTGCTATTATCTAGGTATCAACTAAAGGTCTTCCTTATACTTTTCACCTAGATTTACAAAAGTTGAATTTGCAATCTCTAAACCCATGTCCCAATTTGATTGCATTATAAGCAAAAGACGTTAATTCAAGCTTTGAATACGGAATGTCAAGAATATCAGTGAACAGCCTAATAACGAAATGTTATTTAAAAATATATAGATGATTATATTGCGAATCTCTGCTACCGCAGATATTTCAAGCGGAAGTATATACATGGATGTTGATATAAGACATATGATAATTCGATAAAATATTTTGTACTGATAATCAGGCAATGTTAATATGAGCAACATACAAACAAGAACACACCTAAAATCACAGTGCTGAAATCCTTTGGGCGGCAGGCTGCATAGCGAAAATTCGTTTGACAAAACATGTTGGTTATCGTAAGTAAATTTATGCTAAGCTTTTTAATCGGTACGTCAAATATGCTCTTAAAGTGCGTTTAACTTATACAGAATAAGATTGCAACATCTCGGAACACGCAAACAATGCCGAAGTTATGAAAAATCTTAATCAAAGATAAAAAAAATATGTTAAAGTTCTTAAATATTCCTCAAACCTATTAGAGTAGAATTCCCGTATTAAAATAAAAATGCTTCACAAATCACATGGCTTAGCTACTAAAGCCTATTTTTTCATTTGTGACCGAAAGTTGACCCAAATTCCATCAATCAATAACGATTTGTGGTCCAATCGAAACATCGATCAAACTTGATACGATAGATTGGCATGACTCTGTTACTGAGCATTTTAATGAAAATTACAGTGTCTCACTGTTGCAGTACGACATTTACGGAATGCTTATTCTTCCAAACATCAATTTACGAGTACTTACTGCTTCAGGAACATATCGCGCCCTCTACTGGAGGGTAGTGGTGTAGTCATTCTACCGTCCAGTAGAGTGCGAGACATGTAGCTGATAACAGCAACTAAAATCAAATCCAAGCGAATAACCAAAATTTTTGTGTTATGTGCCGCGGTTATAATATGGTTCAAGATGACACACGGGCTGATGACGTCAGTTATACGAATCGCTTGAACGCCTTGGTTTTAACCGCGGTTTTGTTGCAAGTTGTTTATTTTAGAAAAGTGCGTATATAATCTCTGATTATTTTTATTATCACTTAATAATCGGTGCTTTTTTGTCTACAACGGTGTATGAAATGTTATTTTTTTCAGAAATAAATTTTTAACGATGGAACCATGGTTTTGTAGCTACGATAACTTTCAATTCTCTAAAGTTTTGCGCATGTCAAAGAAAACATTTATTGATTTAGCAGAAATGATGAAAAAACGATGAAAACAGATAATAGCAAAACCGTATACAGGTGGACATCATCCAGGGAGTTAAATGGCCATATTTTAATATTCTTGTGGTATATGGCTACACAGGATACTTTGTTAAACATATGAACTAGATTGAAAGTATTCCCAACAACAGTAATGAGTATAACTAATAAGGTGCTCCACACTGAAGTCAGCCTGTATCAAGTTTCTCAAAAATGTAGCTGAAGTATGTACAATAACAATATCCAATACCCGGCAAATTTCTGACTTGTCACATTTCAAATAATAACCAGAAATATAAAACTACTCCTGAGTTAGTAAATACCACAATTTTGCGGTGATAACTGTGACATATAACAGCTGATTCATGACGTCACGGATCTTATAACCAAACTGATAACCACACTCGCTTGAACGGATCGGTAAATACCAAGCCAAAATGGTAAATACCATTTTCATTTGGTTATCCGCTTGAATTTGATTTAAGTGTTTGTTAAAGAATCAGCACTGTTATTTCAATTATGTCATCAAAGAATTTATAATCAAATCCAAGCGGATAACCAAGATTTCCGTATTATGTACCGCGGTTATAATATGGTTCAAGATGACACACGGGATGGTGACGTCAGTTACTCGAATCGCTTGAACGCCTTGGTTTTAACCGCGGTTTGTTGCAAGTTGTTTATTTTAGAAAAGCGCGTATATAATTTCTGATTATTTTTATTATCACTTAATAATCGGTGCTTTTTCGTCTACAACGGGGTATGGAAAGTTGAAAAAAAGAAAACTTTCATAATATTAATGGGAGGAATGTTTTTTTTTCCGAACAAAATTTTTACTGATGGAACCATGGCTTTGTAGCTATGATAACTTTCAATTCTCTAAACTTTTCCGCATGTCAAAGAAAATATTTATTGATTTAGCAAAAATGATGAAAAAGCGATGAAAAAAGATATTAACAAAACCGTATACAGGTGGACATCATCCAGTGAGTTTATACGGCCATATTTTAATATTCTTGTGGTATATGGCTATACAGGATACTTTTTTAAGTGTAAGAACTAGATTTAAAGTGTCCCCAACAACAGTGATGATTATAAATAATGCTAAAACTGAAGTCAGCCTGTATCAAGTTTCCCAAAAACGAAGCTGAAGTACAATAAAAATATCCAATACCCGGCAAAATTCTAACTTGTCACATGTCAAATAATAACCAGAAATATAAAACTACTCCGGAGTTGGGTAAATACCACAATTTTGCGGTGATAACTATGACATATAACAGCTGATTCGTGACGTCACGGATCTTATAACCAAACTGATAACTACAATCGCTTGAACGGATTGGTAAATACCAAGCCAAAATGGTAAATACCATTTCCATTTGGTTATCCGCTTGAATTTGATTAATGAAGCAGAATTTTGTACAGCAACAGAGAGATACTGTTAGTTTCAATAAAATGCAAATCTAATTTCTGGATGCGTTCATTTTTTATTGGTGCAATGTATGATCATGACCGCTAATTTATAAATTATGAACATGGTGACGCCAAAATTCTGTCACCTTTGGTCGGAAACGTCATTGACGCCACTTTTTTGACGGAAACAAGACGTCCTTTAAAATGCTGTCATTTTGACGTCTTTTTTAGGACAATCAGTACACTTACGTACAAAAAAATATAGACTTTTAATAAATAGTAGGGTAAATTAGATATCCAAATATTAATACATAACCACTTTATTGATATTTATAAAAAGTATCAGGAATTCTTACACCAAGGTTATCTTGTTAATATGACTTTTCTAATAATAATATTCCTTGTTCATATATTTCAAATTGCCAACTTACATCATGTTTTATTCCCGTAAATAACAAATGTATTAGAAACTGCTATGTATAACAATAAACAAGTTTTACTAGAAAATTTGCAATCAAGCGCGGTAAAAATTCAAATTTCAACGGTTCGGCCATTTTATTTTATAAATCTATGGGTTTGACCGACATCACGATGGTTTCGTCGTCTTTAACGTACATTGTGGTACAATTAAGTAGTGACGACAGTCGACACCCAGGAAACAAGAACGTGTTTTGGCCTCCTGTGAAAAAGCAAAGAGATTTTGATCAATGGCAAACAAAAATTCTGAACCATCTGAACGTGTTTGAGATCAATCGGTGTTTTTTAGTTCTTTATTAACCATTTCGATATTCTTTGTACAAATGTTCCTCATAAATTGCGGAGGTGATAACTGAACCAGAGGGTTCAAGAGTAATTACAAGTCATATACATGCTAACAGTAGTTACACACAACGCGGCCGCGGCGATGATTTCCCGTAATTCTCCTCAGTTTTTCGTAATTTATAACTTTGAACATAACCTCTCTTCAGAAACCACAACATAAATAACCCGTCATATTCAGCATATTCAGTAATGATTTTCTCACACAGCAAATATCACTGATTTTATACACATGCAGATCAATACACATAATCATCCAAATGCGATCTTGTTATTCAACCAACTTTCTTCTCAGAGATAAAAACTACAGACACGGATCACTCAGCCTCAATCTCTGCAACCAATAATGCGTGTATAGTTTAGTTGAGTGATTCCTTCATAGATGGACGTTCACAACGATCCTAGTGAGCAAACGTGGAATGACTATTTGCGTCCTAAAAACTACAGTTGATATCTTGTAGATTTTTTTTGACGTTTTGTAGGTTTTTTACATGATCCCGTGCGGGTCTTTTTTGACGAACACTGTTTCGCAATCGTCTTAAAACCTCCAAATAAAAGGTCTGATTCACAGTGTGACCTGGGAAACAAACTCGGAATGGACTACGCCTTTGACATCAAAAAATAAATCAGCATTGTTTTGATGTTTGATTTGACTTGACGATATTTTTTTGGACGGAATGGCGATGGCGTCTTCCATTGACTGCGCTGTTGTTTCGTTTCTGGGTCATAACCGTAGCACCAAGTCTCATGACCAGAATCTATAATCAAATTCAAGCGGATAACCAAATGAAAATGGTATTTACCATTTTGGGTTGGTATTTACCGATCCGTTCAAGCGAGTGTAGTTATCAGTTTGGTTATAAGATCCGTGACGTCACGAATCAGCTGTTATATGCCATAGTTATCACCGCAAAATTGTGGTATTTACCCAACTCAAGAGTAGTTTTATATTTCTGGTTATTATTTGAAATGTGACAAGTTAGAATTTTGCCGGGTATTGGATATTGTTATCGTACTTCAGCTTCATTTTTGAGAAAAATGATACAGGCTGACTTCAGTTTTACCATAAAGTGGAGCACCTTATTAGTTATACTCATTACGGTTGTTGGGGATACTTTAAATGTAGTTCCAATGCTTAACAAAGTATCCTGTGTAGCCATATACCACAAGAATATTAAAATATGGCCATATAAACTCACTAGATGATATCCACCTGTATACGGTTTTGCTAATTTCTTTTTTCATCATTTCTGCTGAATCAATAAATGTTTTCTTTGACATGCGGAAAAATTTAGAGAATTGAAAGTTATCATAGCTACAAAGCCATGGTTCCATCATTCAAAAAAAATCTGAAAAAACATTTCTCCCATGAATATTATGAAATGTTTCTTATTTAAACTTTCCATATACAGTTGTAGACGAAAAAGCACCGATTATTAAGTGATAATAAAAATAATCAGAGATTATATACGCGCTTTTCAAAAATAAACAACTTGCAACAAAACCGCGGTTAAAACCAACGCGTTCAAGCGATTTGTGTAACTGACGTCATCAACCCGTGTGTCATCTTGAACCATGTTATAACCGCGGCACATAACACAGAAATTTTGGTTATTCGCTTGGATTTGATTCAAGTCTCATGACCAGAATCTATCAGAAATAATGACTACAGATGAACGAAACAAGCCAGATCGACAATTCAGGTGGCACTGAACTGGTAATGAGTTGCGCTGTGCGCCTCTAGTTGCAGAAATGTGTACTACTCAAGCTCCCCCCACTGCAATGCTATTCCGGTCATTTTTGGGTACCTCCTCGTACTACGACGTCATATAATGACGTCAATTGGGTGTGACGTGAGACCGTCATATCGACGTCATTTCTACATCATTTTTGTTGGTCGACGTACGTCAGTTGTGCCCTAAAAATGCCGACATGACGTCACTATGTTCGGATGCAAATGAAAAAATAAGTTTTTGTAGCTTGTTCTGCTTATGGCGTAGTTATTGATATAATATGACAAAATGCAGAATTCTTGAAAGGTGGCCTTTTTTAATAATTTGAGCTTTCAGTTTATTTTGGTGGCATTTTCCTGATGCTATCTTGTAATCAGCTTCTTAAATTGTAAAAAGGGCTTATGTTCACAAAACAACGGCTATAAAATTTTTTATTTTCACAGGTATCATTGGGTATCATGAATTCTCTATCATCAATATTTCCTGTCCTCCTGTTCGTGGAGGTGACATACAGCCTTTCCACAGGCATACACCACCAGAAAACCATCACGTCAGCAGTATTATGTGATTCAAATGACATACACCGACAGATTGAACCCAATGAAAGGCAGTTCCTTGAATATGATGAATATGGTAATCCAGTGGAGCGTGAAGAAGAAGTGAACATAGACCCTTGCATACACAGTCCAGATGGATTGTTAGTTGAAGTATATTGTCCGTACGTTCGTGAAGCCATGACCGCAGGGTACACAATTTCTAACAAAGTTTGCCCTAACGATCAAATTATCTTTCATTTCACAAGAACGTCCTACGGAGGGTTTGGTCATTTTGAAGTTGTCGGCAATATCAGCATATTGCACGGAGCAGCATTCAAAGCTGAATTCAAAATATCAGAACTGCATTTGGAGAATATGGGTATAACCAGAATAGCGCCCGGTGCATTTAATTTCCAGACGACCATAAAGTCAATTTTTTTAAGTGAAAATAACCTCTCTGCGATAAACGTTGGTATATTCAATTCTCTAACTCACCTAGATACATTAGATTTATCAGAGAATCAGATTGTGAATGTAACTGAAGACGCATTTTCCAGTGTACCGCTAAGTAACTTGAGTTTAGGTAGAAACAAATTAACTTCGTTACCGGATACCTTGTTTGGCACAAGGCGTCTTGATTTATCGTACAATAATCTTCAACAAATTAATCCAAATGTCAACTTCGAAGCAACATATTTAGACGTAACCAGCAATAATATCAGTTACTTTAACATGTCTTCTTTCCCTCATATTACAGAACTCTATCTTGCTAATAATAAAATCAAGCAAATCGAACCTAATCCAAACATTAACAGACTAGATGTTCACAACAACACTATCTCCGAATTTCCAGAGAATCTGCTTGACCTAGTCATGTTGAATATGGGTACAAATAATATCTCACATTTACCAAACAATTCAATACTCGGAAACAACCTAATCCAACTGTCCTTAAGTCAGAACCATTTGACATACATACCAGTCATGTGCTTTAAAAAATTGAAATCCTTGACAAATCTCGATTTATCAGGAAACGAAATTTCAAGTTTTTCGTTTGGAACATTTGATAATTTAGAAAACTTGCTGTACTTGAATATTTCAGACAATAAGTTTAAAGTATTGCCGATTTACGCACTACACTCTGTGAATAATTTGGTGTCCCTGAGCTTTAGCGATAATGATCTTACTGATCTAAATGTTGACGACTTGCTTAAACACTTACCTTCATTAAGCAGAGTAGATTTCAGAGGCAATAAACTACCGTGTCAACAACTTTTGGAAGCCGTTCAGAAACTCAATATGCATCATGCTGTGTTTGAGCAAGGTACTCACGTTGAAACTGATAACATATATGGCATGAAATGTAACGTTGATGATGTTAAAGATAAAACTAAGTTAAAACTGCTTCCTGAAGACTTTATGAACAGTAGTTTTGTGCGATATCTTGAATCTCTGAATGGTGTACCATCAACAGAAAATCAACGTATACTGGAGAAACTTTTATACATGGACAAAAAGCAAATTGAAGTTTTAGAAAAAATATTCAATAAATTGGATAAGTCGCAAGTTGAGATATTACAAAAAAGTCTGGAAAATCATAATACAGATATTTTGAAGCAATTGGAGGATATGGTTAGCAACACCAAAACCATAAACGATAATTATGAAGAACTAAAGAATGTATTGCGTAGTATACTGGCAACTGATAACAAACGGAATGAGCTGTTAGATAAACTAGTTATTGAGCAATCCAATAAGTCATATCAAAAAAATAGCGTCTCTATGGTTGAACAGTTTATAAGTATTCTTAACAAAAGCTATGAAAGACAAAATGAGACCTACTCAAACTTAAGTATCGAGATGAAAAACGCAATGGAGGCATTAGGACGAACACAGGTGAATCTAGGTTATTTTATAGAGAAACTCGTGAAGGAAAATCATACTGTCAATAATTTAAACTTATCTTTTGCTGAGGAAGGTATAATCAACGCAAACAGAGCTGAAGCCCTTCAATCCTATCCAATGGACAATAGTTCAGATAGAAAGTATCCTATTTTTGTATTTATTGCCCTGCTTTTGTTAGCAATGACCATTTTAATGTCTGTCCTTCTGTATGTTTTGTACTACAGAGTGAAGTATGTTATTAATACGAAACAAGATGTAGAATTAAATCAACTTTTAGGATCCAAGTCTGATATTGTCAGTAACTGATCTTTGTTATATGTATATTCAAATGATCAAGATATAATAAAGTACATACATATATTTCTATCTTTTTTCATTTCAAAGCGAAAAATATTCTGCCTGAAAGACAGTGTAGTAGCCTGCTACATACCGACACAAGACTATATGGTTTTGCTCTAAAGGACTCCGCACCATTTGAGCAAAAATGGACATCGTCTAAATCACTACTAAGGGCCGTATCGTCAGTCGTCCCTACAATTGTAGGGCGCCTTTATGGCCTCCTTGATTGTCATAGTTTTCTACTTCTCCGTGTCAGCGCTCTATTTTGAGGTTATGTCACAAACATCTATTTGCATCAAATTGTGCTTGCTTTTGAGTTATATCATGTTTTATCAGCCTGAAATTTCCTACAATTTAAAAAGAAAACATATGTTTACAATAGGAGAGCGCTGACGCTGACACGGGACAAGTGTAATCTAGAAATTTTTGAAGGAGAGAAAGGTGTATGACAATCAAGGAGGCCATAAACGCGCCCTACAATTGTAGGGACGACTGACGATACGGGCCTAAGTGATAGAAAACGTATATGCATAAAACAATGTTTATGTTTTATGTTTGATTACAGGGTATCTACGCGTTTTCTTTACAACAAAGTCCTGACTACTAGGGCCGTATCGTCAGTCGTTCCTACAATTGTAGGACGCCTTTATGGCCTCCTTGATTTTCATAGTTTTTCACTTTCCGATCAGCGTTCTATTTTCTATATTAGAACATATATTTTCGTTTGATCAACCATTCCACACGAAAACTAATTTCACTGGGCTACATCATGTTCTCAAGCTCGCTATTTCTGATGTAATATCCAGACCGCACAAGTTCAGTCCATTCATTGAATTGTGAAAGCACAGACGGCGAGATACACTGATATCTACGTAATACGTAATCACATGTTTACTTTGAAAACCCAATTAGCTATGTTCATCACAGCGACGATGACTTTATTTCGAAAATCGCCCCATGACGATTACTGGGTTGATAACAGATTATAACAAAGAAAACACATTAGAATCTACAATTTAGAATGGTAGTGTTGGATACGTCTTGAACTTGACCTGTGTACCTATTGTAATCATAACCAGGTTAGTCAGTTATTTAATTTTTAAATAGAAATAGATATCTGATGAAACATTGAATTTGCATGGCTTATTAAGTTATTAGTATTTTTATAATTTTTATCGGACAAATAGGTAAAGCACTAAATTCATTTTCATATCATTATTTTTCGATTGGGTTTGTTGAACGTCATAGGCTGGGAAAAGTAAGTATGTGGACACCATTTTTGTGATTGCGAGATAGTATTTGATTTGCACAGCATATAGTTCTTGTAGTAGATATTAAGTTAATTTTCCTAATATCCATAATCTTAAGCTGACTGGGATATTAGGCATCTGCGATATTAAATCGGGCCTCGTTTCCAGTACATTTTTTTGAAATCGTAAATTGAGCAAAAAAGCGCAAAAAAATATGTGTATACCTCATATTTCCAGTTCGAATGATACGATTTATTTCTATTTTCATGAGATTTTCCAGATTGGTGGACCACCGATAATATTGAAGGAAATGTCTTTTTGCATAATATAATATTTTTAGTTCCTGCCTGGCACAGGATCCGGAACTTTTCTATATTATATACAGGGTGTTTCAGAAAGACGTGCCAATATTTATAGGGTGGAAAGTATATCAAAACACAACAAAAAAAGGTCCTATAAATGTGGGTTCAATGATGCTCCCCTGCCGAGATAAGGGTGATGAAGTTTTATTTCCGAAATTTAGAAAAATTATATCTCCCTAGCGGGTAAAGTTAGGTTTTTCGACTTTCAGTCAGCACATCATTAGCAATAAACACACATACTTTTCTGGCCCAAACTAAACCAGGGACGTAGAAACTGGGGTACCTGTACCCCTAACAGGAAATATTTTTTACGGTACTGGTTTTCTCGCAGAAAAAAGTGCATTTTATAAAATACCATTAAGTTTTCCATAAATTTTGTCTCTTGAGGAATGTTTGTCAGATCACTCGTTTCGGAGATATTTCTGTTCAAATATTTGAGGCAAACTCGTAAAACATTTTCATGAAATGTTTAGCTTCCCCTATTCTGAAAACACCGTGAAACTTGATATTGGAAACATTATATTTCATATGAAGAACGCTTTGGCTCCTAATTACAACATTAATTGAATAATGTGCGTCTTTTCTTCAACCAGTAGCGTAGAAGCTTACCGTTCATTACAGGGCCGTAATAAAAAAATCAAAAAGTTTTTAAAAAATCCCCGTCTACATTAGGATCAAGAACTTATGGTTATGCTAGAACACTATTCCAATGACCCAAATCCAAATTTTCATCTACTACAGAATTTTTGGAAGGCTTTGGTGAATTTTTATGACCCCTTATCGCACGGGTATTACGTAGCCTGAAAAGTGACATTTTGTCGATTTTTTTGACATTGTATTAGTTTTTTGTGACATTATGTAAGTTTTTCTACTACATGTTAACTTAGCACTAGCTGATGAACACGGTGTGAATTCGTTTTGTAGTTGTACGTGTTGCCTAAATGAGGCTTCAGTTATCAATGTTTGGCTCTGATGTGATGTAAAATCTGCTTCAGAGATGGCATTACTGGAGGTCATAATGTCAAAAAACCGACATGATGTTACTTTTCAAGTTACATAATACCCTTGCGGGCTTCTGGTAAAACTAACAGTATTTTTTAGCTAGTGTCAACTAAAAAAATGGAGTTCGCCCTGGGAGGCGCGGCAGCCATGTGCGCTGGGTTCTTCACAAACCCTTTGGAAGTATTGAAGATTCGTATGCAACTACAGGGTGAACTGCAGGCTAAAGGACAACACGTGGTGCACTACAGGAATGTCCTGCATGCAGGATATGTGGTAGCTAAGAATGATGGGGTGCTAGCTTTACAGAAAGGGCTTACGCCTGCTTTGTGGGTGCAGTTGATCATGAATGGGATGAGATTGGGTAAGTTTTGATAAAATGTGTAATATTGAAATTTTGGTGGCTAGTTTGTTCCAGTGACGATTTGTGGCCAGTTAAATAGTTGTTCTTGAAAATGTTTAAATAAAATATTTTTTTTAATTATTCCAAGTACTAACTAAAGTATTCGGTTTAATTAAACTGTTTAACCAGTTTAGGTAATTTAGCTTATTTAGAAAAGGAACATTGAAAACAATTATGCATCTTAGTAAAAACTGTATATTTGAATCGCGACTTGGCAGAACTCGTGAATCATCTGGTGTATACGACAGACGCCTCGACCTCCTCACTTTCATTTGTGATTTTCGCGCGGAGCTTCATATTCGATGTTGCCGTTGTTGGTGTATTAGTTGTGAAGTGGATCAATTATTGTGATCGAGTGGAATACTCGGGCATAAGGCGCTTAGTGACTCATAACCATGTTTAGAATATTTCTTGCTCGAAATGAAACACGTTGAAATTTTATTTGTGCAGCCATATTTAGGTATTGGTGTAATCACTTTGAGTAAACTGCTTTTAATCATACCATTGCGTTCTGGCTTAATTGTAATAGTTCCATAGATTCAAGTAAACCGTTTTAGAAATCGGAGTTTAATTAGCTTGTTAAATATAGTCAAAGTCACAAAAGATGACTATTACGTCATACCATAAATTGTACTGAAGTAATCAATGGACGTACGATGATAAAATCACAACGTCAGGAACATAATGTCAACAAATTTATATTATGATTTTGCGAAGTTAGGTTATTTCACTGATTATTTTTATTTTCATTTTATTCCATGGTTTTGAGTGATATCATAATAATAATTCTAGTGGGGAGTTTTTGTTTAGAAAAAAACAGTTATGAGTAGAATACCTTGAGACAGGAACCCCAAAGAAAAAAGTATTATTCGAAAACAACCTGACCTGCTTTAACATAACCTAACTATTCATCTTTCAAATATGATCGATCATGCATCATGAAAACATCGTCTATCTTTGTCGGATACATGCAAATTAGCAATACAGTTTGTTTAGACAATAAAATTATGTTTGTCTCTGTCTAACATATCTGACACTTCATTGAAAATATTCACAAATCGCTGTCGTTTGTCTTTACTACAGACTAAAATGATGACGTAATCGTCACCTTTCGTGATTTCGACTTTAGCATATTTGATTAAATCTCTTAAATAGACAATTTAAAAATTTAATTGGTTTCATTAATTTTTTTCTGTGTAGTATGTTCAAGTGGTGATTCAATTTTAAGGCAGGCATATTGTGATATACAGGGGTATACATGTAGCTATATCGTAACATTGACAATTTCAGGAAATGATCGATATGGTCACGTTTCATGAAATGGTCAACTAAAACTGACCATATCGTCCACGTTTAACAATTTTAAATGTCATATTCGAAATTATCATTTCATTTCCTTGTAAGAACCGAAGACGGAAATTTTAACTAGTATATCTTCAGGTTTATTATTGAGCAATCCTCCATATCTTTGATATCTATGAATACTTGTTTTCTGGATGAATTGGGTGCGTAGATTCAACTTGATAGTTCGATCTATTTTATACCTAGAATTTACCTCCAAGATAGTTCAGCCTGTAACAACGGCAGGGTTATTACGTACCTTGAAAAGTGACACTATGTCGTTTTGACATTATTTAGGTTTTTTGGGACATTATGTAGGTTTTCCTATGAGATGTCAACTTGGAACCAGTTGTTGTTCACTTGATGTGCACTGGATCTGTAGCAGTACGTGTTGCCTAAACGTCATAACGCTTCAGCTATCAACGTTTGGCCCTAATGTGATGAAATATCTGCTTCAGAGATGGCATTATTGAACGACAACGCATAGTTGCATACAGAGGATAAGTGTGGATCTGTGTTGATAATTCCATTGGTTTCTTGTTATATACACTTAGATACATGAGATGTATGCAAAGCTTAGTTGCGCATCGACTTTTTCTTATTCACCCTGGAAATTACGTATGCATATTTGATAGGGATATTTATGAAACGTGAATAAGTCATTAAATTTTACATTATTTTTATTTCCAGTCATTTAAGTTTAAGAAATTCATTTTGCAATGTCAAGTAGAAAATACAAATCAGCGCATAGAGGTGAGGCACTGCGAAAACGTTTTTTTCTCGACCTTATATATACGTTCAAAATTTGAATTACTTTCCATTCGGATAGTATTTAGCAATATTTTGAACAGATAAAAGGATATTTTCTTTATTTTCCTACACTCCGTACGCTTGTGGTACACAATCATCGATTTAATATTCCTTCCTTGAAGCTGTGGTTTAATTTCAATCACAAGCAGCTAATAAATGATGGATGTGGAAAACACCCCAAGGCACGTATAAAATATAAAGATTAATAGATTTCAAGAGTTGGGGAGTGTGTGAGAAAGCTCCCGTATAAACATCACATATTTATACACTCGATTTTTTATGTCTTTTTCTAAGGATTTCGGCTGTCGCTGCAGATGATTAATGTCAAGATATCACTCAAATAATTGACTTCAGGAGCTATTCGTCTTCTCATTTTCAAGGACAACAATGTTGGGTGACTGTGACGTCTTTAAGTAAACATTATATTGCCTATGCCTTTTTTATAGGTTATGTTATGGATAGATGCTCCAGTTTTTTATTTGAAGTCACTGCAGTTGAAGAGACCTGTATCATCCAGTCATGCCATTTCCTATTCTTTCACAATTTCATTTTCCTGAATGCTCAATATGCTCAATTTGCCCGTGTCTCCCCTCCTGGCCTTAATTAACTCTAAAACAGTGTGATTTATCCAAGAGGTCAACTCGAAGTAAAAAGATAAACACTGTACTATAAAGAAAACGTTTCCAAGCAACTGGAAGCATATTGTGCATATTAATCCACAATAAAACTTATCCCACTTCTGATATCAAAGGACGTAATCAGCAATTAAGCAAACAGACAAACGTTTGTACAAAACTTCCGCAGTAAGCGAGAAAACTTTTTGCATGAGTATTACTGCGATGCTTTGCAGGGGAAACATTTGGAAAGGATCTTTCTTTTGAATGTCGGTTTAGCGAGAGACAAAGAGGACTGGAATGTGTACTTTCGAGACAGGCAACGTTTTGCTTTTTAGACTCCTGAATCTTTTGATATTCTCTGCTAGCGACACGTATACTCCAGCAAGTTGTACACGATGGTGCAAAATAAATTCCATGGTACCTCCGCCATGTTAAGGTAAAATCAAAGAGTAGTTATATCAACAGAAGTAATGGTTTTATAGTCCGCAGGTCGACTCCATTGTCTCCGGGTTGTTTCTAGTAGGGGAGCCAACCGCAAATGTTTGCATCAAAAGAGTTGACTGGTTTTCAACATATAAAATATGTACATATTTAAATGAAAACAGTGATCTATGAGCAGACTGTTCTTGGTTTCGCGATTCACTCATAGATGGCTCGACATTCTGCCGAGGATCTGCGTGTTTCACTCATAGACGGCTCTGCACTTGTCGACGCGGTGTTGCCAAACTGACATAAAATGTTTGGAAAACGCTACATTTATACTGAGCTTAATAGACCTCGGCAGGGTTATTACGTGAGAAAAAGCTTTTCACGGTAGTGGTGTAGGGAACCACAAATTCGGACGTCGAAAAATACATGGGAATATCATGGTGTGACTGTCGGATCTCGATCTTCATCTCCATATACTCTACACTTTCATTGAGTTGTACTTCTTTTCACAGGTACGTTCCAGTTCTGTGATAATAGAGGTTATATACGAGACAAAGATGGAAATATTGTATTTGCGCAAAGCGCCTTGTGCACAGGGTTTGGTGGAGTTTTGGGACAGTTTTTCGCCAGTCCTTTGTTTCTAGTGAAGACTCAGTTACAGTCCCAGGCGACTGACACGATCGCTGTGGGACACCAACATAGACACAGAGGCTTATGGGATGCTCTGAAGAGGATATATGGTGGACACGGAGTAAGTAAAGGAATAATTATTTTCTTTGCAAAACTGAATGGGCCATTTTTTATAATTTGTCGAATATTTTTTGTTCGTTTTAAAGAAAAAATATCTTCATTACGACAATTTTGCGCTGGCAAAATCTTGTTCTTTGACCGCTAATCCTATAACCGCCTAATACTTGATAAGTACCGCCCGGATTTCGATGAAATTTTAACGCAATCTTACTATTACACCAAGGACGCAAAAGTTTTTGGAAGTCGGTCCAAAAAATGCAAAAATCGGAATAAATTAAAAGAAAATTTTTTGTAGGAGTGAAATTTGGGGGTTGGGGGTTGCAGAGTGGATATATGTATCCGTACTGAAGCGCAAAGAACATACGGATTTTGCACGAAACAAAAGAAATTTCTTAGAGGATGCATATTCAAAGTCCGCGGCTACCTACCAAAGTAAACACAATTTTCGTCTTATTTTGCAGGTGAGAGGCTTATTCCGAGGAGCGTCAGCCTCTATACCAAGAGCGTTCTTCGGCTCTATCTCTCAGCTTATATCATTCGAATACGTGAAACAGTATTTGTACAAATACGATCACTTCAAAGACAAAAGACTGCTGACGTCATTTCTTGGTGCCATGGTAGGAGGCGTTGCTGTTAGTATCACTATGACGCCGTTTGATCTCATCTTAACTAGACTGTACAATCAACGTAAGTATGGTATACAAATTTCGATATTTTAATCAGTAGCTTACTTTGAAAACTACCTAGTACGAAGTACTCGATGATTTAGTTTTTAATCGGATTTTTTTTTTGCAGCGACTGATGAGAGAGGCAAGGGAAGACTTTATAGAGGTTATGTAGATTGCGTTATCAAAATCTATAGAAGAGAGGGCCTAGCTGCCTTTTATAAAGGCTTTGGTCCGATGTATCTTAGGTTAGGACCACATACGATATTATGCCTAGTATTCTGGGATCAGTTTAAGGCTTTGGAGAATAAATACTTTCATTAATAGCTTGTTGTGTCATTTCTATCATCTGGAAGGTCTCTAAAACCTCGTGACGTCTTTTAAAAAAAATAATTTTGCCTGAAATAGGGTGATTGATAAAGAAAGCTCGAATTAATCTCAACAATTTTATTAAAACAAGAAACTATAATACAGCAACTACCACTAGAAATGATAGAATGTGTGAACGTTAGTTTTGGAATGTGCCTGCTATGAACAGCTGTAAGATTTATTGGAACAGTATCAAGCATAAATTGATGGCTAGACGATATTTATGTTCAATACTGTTCGGAAAAAAACTATCGTGCATTTCGATTTTTGGATATTGACTTTCATCAAATTTTACAAATTCTAGACGAAGGTATTATAAAATAAGACGTTCCAAAGGTATATCATGTCAATGTCACAATTTATCATGTAGGACTATACAGGGTGTTCCGTACTTAAAGCGACCTAGTGAAATGGCAGGTAGTATGGACTGAGGCCTTTTCGTATGTGATAACGAAATAATTCTAAATTCAGTTTCTCCTGATATACTGGGTGACTTATCTAAGCACGTCAAATCTTTGGCTATGTTATACTAATATTTGTCATGTTTAGATAAATCACCCTATATATTTGTAAAAACTGAATTTTGGACCTTTTTATTTTAACTACGCGCTCCATTGAAAGTGCGGAATATTCTCGAAACAAATAATGAGAAATACACGATAGCGACGTGAAGGAGAAAAGCTGAGTATTTATGACTTACAAATTAGATAATCTATTTACATACAGTCATACCGAATAAATAAAATCTTCAGCAGTCTTTGGCTGAATGAGTATGATTTGAATACTATTCTAGTCCTGGAATAACGTTCCATCATTTTTGTAAACAAAACGTAATCGTCTCCATCTTCGTGAGAATAAAGTAACTTTTATTTATCTACTACAAAACACAGATTGGAAAATTATATGTGAGGAACTTTATTACGCCAAAAATAGAACACTATCATGCAATTACATTATCAGGCTTCTTTCACACACTGGCTGACACTGATCAACACCGTGATTATTTAAATGATCAGGAATCTCCGTCTCTCGTAATTATCTTTTCCATCTTTCGAACATGCGGTATTTATTTGTTGGATCATTCTAGAAACCTTGTTGTTTTTTCTTGTCAATCGCACATATTAAATGAAACTGTATAACCTGTCGTATGAATTTCGGACTTGCCTTGTTTAAATGGCTGAGCGTAGTATTTTGTAAAAAAATATAATGCAAAAAATATCGCGGCTTTAGCGCCGTATCCGCATTGATTGTGACTTAAATAATATTTTTGTAATGCAGGTTAAATGAATTGTACGTTTGATGTAAAAGCTAAAATTCACAGTCGCTCCAAATGTCATGATGTCAATTTATTAGGTCCTCTACTTCTACGTAGTCACTTACACAATTTAATTTTCTAAAATTGAGCCACTCCAAAGCGACAAGAGAGCATGAGGTTATCTGTTGTTTTGGATGGACTAGATACGTTACTCGACACAAAAACGTCATGCGATCTCAAATGCAAAACACCTGTTGACAGTGTTGCCGGACCGGAAAAGACTAAATCGGTAGATAGTGTCATTAAAATTCGGTAGATTCAAGGACAAAATTGGTAAAAGAAAAAAATTAGGGCCTTTGCGTTACGCAGCGCCATCTACGATAAAAACATATTTTTATTTTTACAATGGCCGCGATTCAAACTCCTTTGCAACCGTCCCGGAAATTAGTTTTCCCATTCTTGTTTATAAAATTGCGAATATTTTCCTGTTTTACTTCTGAGCTATCAGCCTCATCACCTGACATCTTAATTGAATATTTAACGGATTACTAACAAAGCCAATACTGGGAAAGCGGGGTAAGTGAAGTGTGTGTGTAATTATAGGCAACTCAAATCTACGTTCCTCGTGTGCCCTAGTGCCTAAGCTTTATTTTTGGCTCCAGCTGTTTTTCGGTAAACAATCTAAAAATATCTGAGTTATTTTAAGAAAATTAGTGCGCTTTCGGTATTTTGGAAAAAATGTCTCTTTTCGGTAGAAATACCGAAAAATCGTAAATTCGGCAACACCGCTCACCAGGCAGACGTGGACATTTTAAAATATTTGTAATGATCTCAGGATCGTTCAGTGTATGGTTGCAACGCATTGAATATTAACGGCAACAAAGAATTAACTATCACCTGGATATCTATCTAAAATATACTGTTGCTGTCACTTTTTTCATCACTACATTGAAATGAGCCACTGAGGTAACTTTTTGATAACCAAATAAATAACCAAACAATGAACCATGGAAGTGACAACACTCTTATTCCTAAGGTTTTGAGCACGGAAGAAAATCACACTTTTGACGTCCCAACTCATGGAACATGTTCGTCAAACAATTTAATACCGCATCCTTCATCTTCTGGTGACTCTATATATAAATTCCTTCACTCTATATTTCCAGTGTGTGAAACAAGCCGTTCCCGCATCAGAAAAAAGCTATCACTCAAATGTCTCCCGCCATGCTCTATCGCACGGTGATCCCGTTGATCGTGATGAAGTTATCCCCTCCTCCTGGCTCCGGCTCGTACACGCCACTGTCCCTCCTCCTCCGCTCCTCGTACGGAGCATCGTACAGGTTCTCCTCTCGAATGTTCTCGTAGAGGTTTGCATGGCCATTGCGATCACTCAGCGTTGCGTAGCTCATCACGGCAGCGCTTTTGTCCTCTTTCCTTTCGGCCTCTTCTACGTTCTCGGTGTTCTTCACTGCGACGGGTTTACGACTGGAAATAGACGCATTCAGATCAGTTGGGGGAAATAAGAAGAGTTTTTGAAGGAGTGAGATTGTTTTCTGAAGGTTTCAGGAGCAATTGAAAGTATCTTGTACTGAAGCAATGGGCGCACTACTTTTTACGTTCTCGGTGTTTTTCACTGCTACGGGCTTACGACTGGAAATAGACGCATTCAGATCAGTTGCGGGAAATAAGAAGGGGTTTTGAATGAGTAAGATGGTTTACTGAAGGTTTCAGGAGTAGTTTAAAGTATCTTGCACTAAAGCAATGGACGTACTGCTTTCTACGTTCTCAGTGTTCTTCACTGCTACGGGCTTACGACTGCAAATCGACGCATTCAGATCAGTTGCGGGAAATAACAAGGGGTTTTGAATGAGTAAGATGGTTTACTGAAGGTTTCAGGAGTAGTTTAAAGTATCTTGCACTAAAGCAATGGACGTACTGCTTTCTACGTTCTCAGTGTTCTTCACTGCTACGGGCTTACGACTGCAAATCGACGCATTCAGATCAGTTGCGGGAAATAACAAGGGGTTTTGAATGAGTAAGATGGTTTACTGAAGGTTTCAGGAGTAGTTTAAAGTATCTTGCACTAAAGCAATGGACGTACTGCTTTCTACGTTCTCAGTGTTCTTCACTGCTACGGGCTTACGACTGCAAATCGACGCATTCAGATCAGTTGCGGGAAATAAGAAGGGGTTTTGAATGAGTAAGATGGTTTACTGAAGGTTTCAGGAGTAGTTTAAAGTATTTTGCACTAAAGCAATGGACGTACTGCTTTCTACGTTCTCAGTGTTCTTCACTGCTACAGGCTTACGACTGCAAATCGACGCATTCAGATCAGTTGCGGGAAATAAGAAGGGGTTTTGAATGAGTAAGATGGTTTACTGAAGGTTTCAGGAGTAGTTTAAAGTATCTTGCACTAAAGCAATGGACGTCCTGCTTTCTACGTTCTCAGTGTTCTTCACTGCTACGGGCTTACGACTGCAAATCGACGCATTCAGATCAGTTGCGGGAAATAAGAAGGGGTTTTGAATGAGTAAGATGGTTTACTGAAGGTTTCAGGAGTAGTTTAAAGTATCTTGCACTAAAGCAATGGACGTCCTGCTTTCTACGTTCTCAGTGTTCTTCACTGCTACAGGCTTACGACTGCAAATCGACGCATTCAGATCAGTTGCGGGAAATAAGAAGGGGTTTTGAATGAGTAAGATGGTTTACTGAAGGTTTCAGGAGTAGTTTAAAGTATCTTGCACTAAAGCAATGGACGCACTACTTTCTACGTTCTCGGTGTTCTTCATTGCTATGGATTTACGACTGGAAATAGACGCATTCAGATCATTTGGGGGGAATAAGAAGCGATTTTGAAGGAGTAGATTGTTTTCTGAAGGTTTCAGGAGTAGTTTAAAGTATCTTGCACTAAAGCAATAGACGCACTACTTTCTACGTTCTTGGTGTTCTTCACTGCTACGAGCTTACGACTGGAAATAGACGCATTAGATCAGTTGGGGGAAATAAGAAGCGGTTTTGGAGGAGTAAGATTGTTTTCTGAAGATTTCAGAAGCAATTCAAAGTATTTTGCACTAAAACAATGGGCGTACTACTTTCTACGTTCTCGGTGTTCTGCACTGCTATGGCTTCACGACTTGAAATAGATGCATTCATATCAGTTGGGGGAAATAAGGAGGGATTTTGAAGGAGTAGATTGTTTTCTGAAGGTTTCAGGAGTAGTTTAAAGTATCTTGCACTAAAGCAATGGACGCACTACTTTCTACGTTCTCAGTGTTCTTCACTGCTACGGGCTTACGACTGGAAATAGACGCATTAGATCAGTTGGGGGAAATAAGAAGCGGTTTTGAAGGAGTAAGATTGTTTGCTGAAGATTTCAGAAGCAATTCAAAGTATCTTGCACTAAAGCAATGGACGTACTACATTCTACGATCTCGGTGTTCTTTCCTGCTACGGGCTTACGACTGGAAATAGATGCATTTAGATCATTTGGCGGGAATAAGAAGCGATTTTGAAGGAGTAGATTGTTTTCTGAAGGTTTCAGGAGTAGCTTAAAGTATCTTGCACTAAAGAAATGGACGCACTACTTTCTACGTTCTCAGTGTTCTTCACTGCTACGGGCTTACGACTGGAAATCGACGCATTCAGATCAGTTGGGGGAAATAAGAAGGGGTTTTGAAGGAGTAAGATTGTTTTCTGAAGATTTCAGAAGCAATTCAAAGTATTTTGCACTAAAACAATGGGCGTACTACTTTCTACGTTCTCGGTGTTCTGCACTGCTATGGCTTCACGACTGGAAATAGATGCATTCATATCAGTTGGGGGAAATAAGGAGGGATTTTGAAGGAGTAGATTGTTCTCTGAAGGTTTCAGGAGTAGTTTAAAAGTGTCTTGCACTAAAGCAATGGACGCACTACTTTCTACGTTCTCAGTGTTCTTCACTGCTACGGGCTTACGACTGGAAATAGACGCATTCAGATCACTTGGGGGGAATAAGAAGCGATTTTGAAGGAGTAGATTGTTTTCTGAAGATATCAGAAGCAATTCAAAGTATCTTGCACTAAAACAATGGGCGTACTACTTTCTACGTTCTCGGTGTTCTTCCCTGCTACATGTTTACGACTGGAAATCGACGCATTCAGATCAGCTGGGGGAAATAAGAAGGGGTTTTGAAGGAGTGAGATTGTTTTCTGAAGATTTCAGAAGCAATTCAAAGTACCTTGCACTAAAGCAGTGGACGCACTGCTTTCTACGTTCTCAGTTTGATTCACTGCTACGGGCTTACTACAGGAAATAGACGTATTAGATCAGTTGGGGGAAATAAGAAGGGGTTTTGAAGGAGTAAGATTGTTTTCTGAAGACTTCAGAAGCAATTCAAAGTATTTTGCACTAAAACAATTGGCGTACTACTTTCTACGTTCTCGGTGTTCTTCACTGCTATGGCTTCACGACTGGGAATAGACGCATTCATATCAGTTGGGGGAAATAAGGAGGGATTTTGAAGGAGTAGATTGTTTTACTGAAGGTTTCAGGAGTAGTTTAAAGTATCTTGCACTAAAGCAATGGACGCACTACTTTCTACGTTCTAAGTGTTCTTCACTGCTACGGGCTTACGACTGGAAATAGACGTATTAGATCAGTTGGGGGAAATAAGAAGCGATTTTGAAGGAGTAGATTGTTTTCTGAAGGTTTCAGGAGTAGTTTAGAGTATCTTGCACTAAAGCAATGGACGCACTACTTTCTACGTTCTCGGTGTTCTTCACTGCTACGGGCTTACGACTGGAAATAGACGCATTCGATCAGTTGGGGGAAATAAGAAGCGGTTTTGAAGGAATAAGATTGTTTTCTGAAGATTTCAGAAGCAACTCATAGTATCTTGCACTAAAGCAATGGGCGTCCAACTTTCTACGATCTCGGTGTTCTTTCCTGGTACGGGTTTACGACTGGAAATAGACGCATTCAGATCAGCTTGGGGAAATAAGAAGGGTTTTTGAAGGAGTGAGATTGTTTTCTGAAGGTTTCAGGAGCAATTGAAAGTATCTTGTACTGAAGCAATGGGCGCACTACTTTTTACGTTCTCTGTGTTCTTCACTGCTATGGCTTCACGACTGGAAATAGACGCATTCAGATCAGTTGGGGGAAATAAGAAGGGATTTTGAAGGAGTAGATTGTTTTCTGAAAGTTTCAGGAGTAGTTTAAAGTATCTTGCACTAAAGCAATGGACGCACTACTTTCTACGTTCTCTGTGTTCTTCACTGTTATGGCTTCACGACTGGAAATAGACGCATTCAGATCAGTTGGGAGGAATAAGAAGCGATTTTGAAGGAGTAGATTGTTTTCTGAAGGTTTCCGGAGTAGTTTAAAGACTCTTGCACTAAAGCAATGGACGCACTACTTTCTACGTGCTCAGTGTTCTTCACTGCTACGGGCTTACGACTGGAAATAGATGCATTCAGATCACTTGGGAGGAATAAGAAGCGATTTTGAAGGAGTAGATTGTTTTCTGAAGGTTTCCGGAGTAGTTTAAAGTATCTTGCACTAAAGCAATGGACGCACTACTTTCTACGATTTCGGTGTTCTTTTCTGCTACGGGCTTACGACTGGAAATAGACGCATTCAGATCATTTGGGGGGAATAAGAAGCGATGTTGAAGGAGTAGTTTGTTTTCTGAAGGTTTCAAGAGTAGTTTAAACTATCTTGCACTAAATTATGTATCTAGCTTTAATTTGTTTGTGCCTCACCACAGGTTATCTCTTGTATCAAGAGGTCCAAACGTCAAGATGATAAGCTATATAACAAACTTCCAACACATATCAAGAATATATCATCAGTAAGCGTTTTTAAAAGCAAAGTTAATAAAATCTTTTTAGACAACCCTTTCTACTCTGTGTCAGAGTATATGGATTTTAGTTTTTTAATTATATTCCGAAGCAGCCGCGCAGGCAGAAGATTAAATGCCAGGGCACGGCGGCTGCTATGAGGATCCCAAAGAAACTTCGTTAATCCGGTTTTTGAAGGTCAATAGAACTAGGAAGATTGTTCAACGATCTTGACACCCTAGGGACAAAAGAGTGGTCGTATCAGTCAGGAGATGTACGAAAATCGGACAGTTCTGGATGTACGAAAAGCGACACGGTAAGGATGGGAGGCCGAAGTCAGGCCAGAGCGAAAGGGTCCCGAGACTGTTTGTTAGAGAGGAGTCATCGATCAGTCGGACAGCCCTCCTCTCGACAGCATCGAGCATAAATAATGTAGTTGGGGTGGCAGCACCCCAAACGTGAGAGCAGTACTCGAGGCTGGGTCCTACCCGGGCCTTGTATAGAGTGGAGAAAAAATTTTTCATACATATGACACTTTCTTCTAAGCCATCATACAAACACTTTAGAGACAGATCAATTTATACCGGACACCCTGCATTAAAGCTTTGTAAAATTATAAATAAAAATCAGCCATCAGAGTTTAAGTTAATTTAGTTATTTTCACTTACGTTTCTCACCTGCTACCTGTAAATGGGCCTGCTACCCAACTTAGCAGGCAAGCAGACGTTCAAAGTAAAAATACGCTACTCAATGTCCCACGTTTTATTTATAAAAAAATAATTAATGTCTGGCAGCCCTTGGCATTTCTTTATTGACTTGGCTACAAGTGATGACGTAGGTAGCCTTGGCTTTCCGGTAAAGGAGGTTTGTAAGTTTTCAAAACGCAGTTCTTGGTGTGATACGATTGTTTTTGAGGGTTTTTAAGGGTGGGTCAACAGTGGCTTCTAGATGGGTGGATCAGATTCATAATAAGGCAAATGTTAAATATTTTTTCCCGCTTTGATTTTAAAGGACTTAATGTAGAATATAGTATGCGAAAACTAAAACAAAACAATTCATTTGAAAAAAGATACTGCTTGAAGCTGATTGTCTCTATTTCCCCGCGAAAACGATTCCACAGCCGGCACGGGTATTGCGTATTTGTAAAAGTGACATTATATGGATTTCTTTGACATTGAATTGTTTTTTCAAGACATTATGTCGGTTTTTCTACAAGATGTTAACTTAGCACTAGCTGATGGACGCGCTGTGAACTCGTTTTGTTGTACGTGTTGCCTAAACGTCATAATGCTTTAATTATGAATGTTTGGCTCTGATGTGATGTAAAATCAGCTTCAGAGATGGCATTACTGGAGGTCTAAGCTGTAAGTTGTATACTATAGCTAGAAGAAAACGGCAATGCATAGGTGCATAATGAGGATTTGTGTGACAATATTATATATAATTATAATAATTTCATTGGATTTTTGTCTTTTGAGATTCAAAGCTAGAAATCAGTTGCGCATCCACTTATTCATTCTGAAAATTACATATGCAAATTTGCTGAATTTAAAAAATGAGAGAGATAAGAAAAGAAAATCCCTGGTTCGTGAAGGAACAGGTAAAAAAATATGCTACAGACAGGAACATTTATGAAAGTGAAAAGGTTATTACATTACTTCTTGTTTCCAGTCATTTAACTTTTATAGAAATTTATTTTGCGATGTCAAAAAAATACAAATCAGCCGCTAGATGTGAGGCATAGCGAAAATGTTTGATGTGTCATTACTACTTTTTCTGTAATGTGGCTTAATTGCACACAACGCCGGCCGCGGTGGCGATTTCACGTAGTGCTTTTCAAAGATTTTGAAAAACAAAAATCTAAAAAATCGTAATTTATTTTGAATAACTTTGAACATAACCTGTCTTCAGTAAGGACAACATATAGTATTAATTTTCTCACACAGCAAATATTGATTTTATACACATGCAGACCAATCCAGATCTTGCTACTGAACCAACTTTCTTTGTTTCACATCTTCTCAGAGATGAAAACTACTGACTACCCGGCTTCACAAAATATATGCAACCAACAATGCGCGCAGTTGAGCCACTCCTCCATAGATGGACGCTTACAACGATCCTAGTGAGCAAACTTGGAAAGACTGTTTGCCCCCTAAAAACTACCTAGTCTGCAAGATTTTATAGGTTTTTTTTATAGATTTTGTACATAATACCCATGCCGTACAAGATGGAATAATCCAAGCTATAGCGCCAACTTTTGTTGAAATGTTTTCATCCGAAATTCTTTGCAAATCGGATAAGCTAATAAAAAAATAAACTTGCTACGTTTCCTAAATGCTATCATACTCACAGCTTGAAGTAAATCGCTCCAAGAAGAACCAGAAGAAAAACAAGTACTCCTGCTCCAATGCCGATGCCTGTGCCGATTTGAGATGTGTCTCTTGTCTCGTTAGCGGCAACTGCAATAAGAAATTTCAATTTATTCGATCTATGTCTTCAGTATACATACGCTTTGTGTATATAGTTTTGAAACTTACCTTTGCAAGCGGGTTCATCTCCAGACCATTCGCCGTTTTCCATGCATTTCCTCAAGTACGGCCCTTCACGTACAAAGTTTGGAATACAGTGATACTCGATGGCGCTATTATAGGTAGTGCCGTTTATTACAATTATCCTTCCATTCTCAATATCCTTGGGGTAACTACAGTTCCTTGCTAAAGATACACAAAATATATTATTACTACCTTATTAATAATAATAATAATAGACGTCTTTATTTATCCACAATTGTAGAATAGCCAAATGTCAGACTTATATGGCGGAGTTTAGCATGCTGCTACTCTTACACTTAACCATATAGTCTCTAGCAGATGTTCAAAAGAATACACCATCCACAAACAGATTTGGTTCATTACATCAAAAGTAAAATTTGAAAAAAGAGAAAAAGGTATACTTTCCAAACCCAAATGCACCAAAAAATTATTAATCTGAATTAAAGATGGAATAAAAAAGAAATGAATGATTACGTAAATTATATGTTTGGAGGGTTGAGTAATAATGTTTTAACTTTTTGTCGAAAGACAGCTAATGAAAATTCTTTATATACTTTAGGAAGGTCATTATAAATAATAGCAACATTGTAAGAAAAACTGCGTTAAAAAAGTATAGATGTATGCAGGGGTATTCTAATATTATTTTCTCTGAGAGTTCTACAGTGAATATCATTATTAAATGAAATTTTTTCCTTCAAGTAATAAGGTTTAGACGTGAGCAGCAATTTGTGAACAAAAACTGAATAGTGATACTTGACCATGTAATTAATTTTTAACCTGTTTAGAACGGGATATTTCGCTGATACATGATCAAATTTACGTAAGCCAAAAATGAATCGTATGCAATTGTTTTGAATAACTTGAATAACGTTTTTAGTGAAATTGTCTAAACAAGTATAGTATACGATATTACAATAATTTAGTATAGATATGACCAATGCTTCACATAGTTCTTTACGCAACTTAAAATTTAGTAAATACCTGTTTGCTATAAGAGTGCGCAGCCGTAGGTAGGTTTTTTGAGATAGACTTTTAACATGTTCAATGAACCTTAATTTTGTATCAAAAACAACACCAAGAATTTTTGCAGAATCAGAAAATTGCAAAATTTGGTTGTTTATCTGAATGTTCAAGAGCTGTGTTACATTGTATGTTTTTCTTTGTGCGCAAAATAATAACATTTTAGATTTTTGTGGATTAATAAGTAGATTGTGATCTAAAGGGTATTTAATTAATTTATTAACATCGTTTTGTAAAATTTGAGTAGTATTATTGACATTATCTGGGTTAAAATAATGGAGCAATTGCGTATCGTCTGCAAATGGCTGGACATGAGAATTATCAATACTTTTGCTTAAGTCGAACGTATATATGAGGAACAGAAGCGGCCCCACTACAGAGCCCTGAGGTACGCCTGAGGGAATTATTGTCACTTGAGACATTTCTTGATTGAGAAAAACACACCGAGTTCTTTGATGAAGGTAATTGTCGAAAAATGAAAGGGATACACTGTCAAGACCTATGTAATTTAATTTAGCAAGTAATAATTTATGATTGATGCTGTCAAAGGCTTTCGAATAGTCTATAGAGATTAAGGCTAGTGCCATTTTCTTATCTAAGGCACTTAAAATATCGTCTTGCAGATTAAGTAGGGTAGATGTTGTACTATAATTTTTTCTAAAACCTGATTGAGTGTCGGGAAGTATAAAGAGTTTTTCTACATAAGCGGTCAATTGGAACTTTATAATTTTTTCTAAAATTTTGGATAAAATTGGTAATAAACTGATAGGTCTGAGATCATTGTACTCAGTGGGTTTCATTTTTTTAGGAATTGGAATAATTAGAGCTTGTTTCCATGTGTTTGGAAAGTAGCCTTTTTCCAAACAGTCGTTAAAGATGTGGACGATGTGATGGAGAATAACTGGCAGGCAAAGCTGGATCATTGACAGGGATATACCAACAATTCCCTTCGCATCAGATTTTAGGCTCCCTATTGCCTGTAATACGTCATTTGAACTAATCTTATTCAATGAAAAAATATATTCAGAGCTTAATTTAATTTTGAAATAGTTTTAGCAGTGAATCAACAGGTTTATAGCTATAAACAGACATAAAATAATCATTAATTTTGGTAGGGTCATTAATATGTCGAATTTACAAATTAAAAAACTTACGTTTGCATTCAGGCGCAATTCCGCTCCAGCTGCCATTTTTCAAACACGTCCTAGTAGAGTTTCCTTGGATCAAGTAGCCTTTCGGACAACTATATTTTACAGTCCCTCCTATGCTACGAGTTTCAACTTTGTACAAAACACCTTTGTTTGCTTTGGGCTCCTTACACTGAATTTCTGAAAGGCAAAACGTTTCGTAAAAATCAATAACTCATCAATGTGTATGCTTTCTAGTTACCTCGACATTTTGGAGCATCTGAACTCCAAGTTCCATTCTCTTGGCACAACCTTCTAGAAACACCTTCCAGTTCATAGTTTTCGAAGCACGAATAGAGAGCAAGTACTCCGTAGAATGTAGCATTTGTGGGCAGTACTACTTGTCCGTGTTGCAATTTCTTTGGCTCCCCACAATCAACATCTGAAATAGAATAATTCATTTCAATTCAATTCAATTTCAATTCAATGGACTTTATTGTAACACATACATAATTATGTATCCTTAAAAATGGCGAAGTCTGGCCAATAGCCCTTTATACTTAACCATAAATGTCACGTCAATGCTTATTACTACCTTAAAAATAAAATAAAAAAACTGAAAAAGAAAAGGAAAAAGAAGAATAATAGTAAAAGAAGAATTAATAAATATGACATAATGCGTACGATTAGAACAAAAAACATAATACGTACGATTCAAAGAGAAGACAATAACCTAAGAGCTCAATAAGTAGTTCTTATATTTTTTTTAGAAAAGTTGCTGGTGAAACATTGTTCGAAAGAGTTTCACCGCATTATACGTAAAAGACCGTTGAAAAATGGCTGTCCTATGTTGTGGCATTGTCAGGAGATTAATGTTGCGCGTATTCAAATTGTGAATTAAATTCCTACGAACAAGCTTTTGCATAAGATAAACCGGAACAGAAGATTTTCATATTTTTACGACAAGTGTAACAAAGTTGTATTTGAAAAGATCAGAAATTTTCAACCAATTCATTGAAGATATTGAGTGAGAAACATGATCGTACCTTCTTAAATTGTTTATGTAACGACTACATGAGTTTTGAATTTTTTGCAGTCTGTATTTTGTGATTTAATCCAGACAGAGATAATAAACTATGTTGCAGTAAGCGATTTTACTGAGTATGAGTGACTCGCATAACATTTTCTTAATTTTTCTATTTAAAACAGTTTTACTTGCATATAGAAGCCTGAGTCTAAAATAACTAGACTTACACACATAGCCAACATGCTCCTGAAATCTGAAATCTTCATCCAAGTACAAACCTAAATTTTTTGCAGAATGGGAAAATATTAGGATACTATTATTTAGTGATAAATTTAACTTTGATTTGAGGAAAGTACGTTTTTTCTTGGAGCAAAAAAGTATAGCTGTCGATTTCGATGCGTTTAGACGTAAATTATGTTTTGCAGCATACGTGCATAAGTATTGCAGATCTTGATTGATAAGGTTGTTAGCTAAATGGTAGTTGTTCGGATAGAAATTATGAAAAACCTGCATATCATCAGCATATGATTGACTAGAACGATGTTGAAGGGTGTTAGAAATGTCAAAGGTGTATATAAGGAATAAAATTGGACCTAATATGGATCCCTGAGGCACGCCGGAACAAATCGGCCTTTTGTCTGAAAGTTTATTTTGTATGACGACATATTGATGTCGTTCATTTAAATAGCAATCTATCCATTCCAGAACCGAGTCGTCACATCCAAGGTATTTACATTTAGAAACTAACAGCTTATGATTGAGGGTGTCAAAAGCCTTGCTGAAATCCAATAAGACTAATGCAGTTGCTTCTTGCCTATCCGCCGCTGTTAGTACATCGTCACAATCCCGTGCCAAAGCGGTAATGGTACTGTGACCCTTTCTAAAGCCTGATTGATTTAATGGCAAAATGCTGCGTTCGAGTAAATACTCATTCAACTGCATATAAATTATTTTTTCTAGAATTTTTTATAGAGCTGACAGCAAGCTCATAGGTCGGAGATCACCAGGAACCTGGGGATTGGGAATCTTTGGAAGAGGTTGCACTAATGCTTCCTTACAAGCACTTGGAAAAACACCGCGCTCTAAACAACAATTTATTAAATGCAAAATGTATATTCCTATAGCAGGTAGACACAATTTAATCATCTCAATGGTAATGCCATTAATGCCACTAGAATTGGACTTGATACTGCGAATAGCATCCAATACTGTAGATATATCGACAAGACGGAACTGAAAATGAAAATCTTGGTTTAATTTGTTATGGCTATAAAATTCGATAGTTTCCGAGCAATCATCGTCACTTTTCTGGAATATACTGGTAAAATAGTTATTTATTTCATTGGGAACTGCTAAATCATCTGGAATGTCAGTATTACTAGAATCCTGAATTCTAAATGACTTAAGAGCTTTATAAAGAGCTGCAGAGTTTCTTTGTCGAGATAGATGTTGAAGGTAGCCTGATTTCTCTGCACGTGTAGCAGTTTTTGTAAAATTTCTCAGTTCATTGTAATGATTTCGATTCGCATACGTTCGAGACGGTCTATATTTATGAAAAGCCTTATCTCGTTCTTTCATTATCATTTTCAAATTGTTTGTGAGCCATGGTGCACGAGGCTTAGACACTCTCACTGTTTTTAGTGGTGCATGTATGTCAAAAAGTCCTACAATGTTATCGGAAATAAATTTTACTTTCTCGTCGATATTAACTTCAGCCCAATTAACGCTAAATAAGTCATCGTCAAAAGAGGTTAGATCAAAATTGCGATAGTCTCTAAATGTAATTAGTCTAGGTGGTGGTTTATTGTTTTTACACGAAATGTGACAGAATACTGCCTGATGGTCACTAAAGTTAACAGTGAAAGTTCCCACTTTGGAACATCTTTGTGCACAGTTGAAGAAAACCGGATCTAAAAGCGTTGAAGAATGATCAATTATTCGAGTTGGTTCATTCAATAACTAACCTTTATGATTTTTTGAACCTAGATGAAGGTTTGTACGTTGAAGATCAAGATTCAGGCCAAGAAATTGGAAGTCCAGTTGAAATACAAGAACTTTCCGAAGATTCTGATGTCGATGAGATTTCAGTACCACATTAAGGTAAAGCTATTACCCTGACCAAGAAGCTCAAAAGTTTTGCCGAAAATCAGGAAGATATCAAGTCTTTGGAGTTTCTTTTTAAATTATAAATACGATTTCAAGACGCCATTTTAAAGAAAAAGAAAAGAGAACGGCAATATATGAATGTTTGTGTCTTTAAAGTGACTTTTTATTTCATTTTCTTGTGTTACTACATATATAATTATGTATGTATGTTTTAAATGTCCTAGTTTATTAATATATTTAGTTTTGATTAAAAACTCGATTTTTGTTGTGTTTTTTATAAGGACACATTCAGTAGGTCACATTTCTGTCCGTTCAAAGGTGATTTGATTGTAAAGCATTTTTTGTTGCAAATAAACTTGTATGGGTGGAAAATCTTAGTAGCTCTATTCCTTTTTACCAAGAATAATGAACAAAATTTCAAAGACATTAAAGTTTATAGAATAGACAAGTCAGTAAAAGTGAAAGTTTCTTTATACAGACACCGATAGTATGATTCGTGAGCGTTAAATGTCGTTCAACGCGTGTACGCTACGGTTAACCTGATATATCTTTCAATATATAAATGTTAAATTATGTATACTCCTTTTTAAAGTTTAAATTAATAGTTTATTGCTTATAATTAGAACTACTCACTCAGTTTATGTTGTTACAACAATATCGGAAGATAAAAAAATATTAATATTAAAGTATTCAATAATGTAATATATGTATATGTATACGATATTTTATGTAAGTTTAGTTTTAGCTCACTGAGGGTGTGTGTTGGGTTTACCTGTTAACACCCCAAACTGTATATATAAATTAAAATACTCACATATACATTGAGGAACATCCCCACTCCAACTGCCGGTATTTTCGCATGTGCTCAAGGCTTCTCCCACCACCTTGTACCCCCTTCCACAGCGATATTTTAACGATGCTCCCACTTTGTAAGAAGTAGCTCCTGTATGCGAAGACTCCGCTGTCTTTATCAACGTTCTTCCGTATAACCTGTCGTTTCCAGTTACTGATATCACTCCGTGTTCTGGGATTACAGGTTCTGGACATCTTATTTCTGAAACAAAGGAATATTGTTAGATTTAAATGACAAAGATGAGCCGACAAGAGAATTGGATAGGCTTTAGTTTACCTTCACATTTGGGTGTATCGTCGCTCCATTGTTTATTTTCTTGACAAATCCTCTTAGGAGTACCAATCAGTTTGAAGTTCTTGTTGCACGAATAGCGCACTTCGCTTTTCAGATAAGTGGTTCCATTTATGTACTCGACGTTGCCGTTATTTAGAGGCGGTACCTTGCCACAGTCGATAACTGTAAAGAAGAAAAAGGTCAGTTCCTTGATGACGTATTTGGAGTAGGTTTTGACCCGTACTGCATATAATGGCGAAATCATTCGTTGGAAAGGAAAATGATAAAAACAGTGAAGGCAGATACCATGAGGATGAGGGCCTTCACATTCCGATTCTGTACTCGTAAGTTGGTATTTCGGGATTCTGCTTTCAAGTGAAACCAACAATTTTGCTTGTTTATCTTTTATATAGCAAGATTATTAAAGTTTTACAAACGAACATGCAACTTCCAGTAACAACTTGCGGAATGTTTTATTTCTGATGATTAATGACCTGCGGACTGTCCGAATAGGTTTCAACGTAGAAAAATTTTAACAAAAATATCAAGTGTGGTTAGATTGCATGATATTGCAAGCAGTAGTAGTAGCAGTAGTAGTAGTATTTATTGGCCATGTTGATAGATAAGTACATATGGCAGATTATTTGCAGAGAAAAAAATAAATAAGTAAATAAATAAACAAATAAAACATCACGGCAAAAACCTTAAAGATAGAAAGTAGCTTCAACATGCTAAGGTATGCACAAATATTAGGTCACTGATATTTAATTATATGGGGTTGTCCAAAACGTACGCAGGAAAGTAAACGTATATTAAAACAAGAAAGATTGATATTCAAATCAAGTTGGGTACTTTATTTTGAAGGTTCATTTATACCATTTATGTATGAAAAATAATATCGCTCAAATGTTCACCACGACTGGATTTACAGACGTCCACGCGATGGTCGAAATTTTCAATGACATTTTGCAACATGGTCGGTTCTATGGCATTTATCTCGGCAATGATGTTGTTTTTTAGTTCTTGGAGGTTGGCTGGTTTATTGACGTAGACTTTGCTTTTCAAATATCCCCATAAAAAGAAGTCCAAGGGAGTTAAATCGCACGATCTTGGTGGCCATGGCACATGTTGCACCGTCTTGTTGGAAATAAACATCGTCCATATCCATTCCTTCAAGTTGCGGCAAAAAATAGTCCTCTAGCATCACGTGATATCGCTCAGAATTGACGGTAACGGCGTCCCCGGCCGCATTTTCGAAAAAGTAAGGTCCGATGATGCCTTTTGACCACAATGCACACCACACAGTCACATTTTGAGGATGCATCGGCTGCTCTTGATACTCACGGGGATTTTCGTTCGCCCAGATGCGGCAGTTTTGCGTGTTTACCGTCCCATTCAAAGTGAAATTTTGATGAAAAATTAGCATCAATTTGGCGGTGTTCAAGGAGCCAATCTGAGAACGTTCGGCGCGAAAAATGGTCGGCCCGACGCAGCTCTTGCGTCAATTGGATCTTCTAGGCGTGTACATTCAAATCCTTGTGGAGAATGCGGAGCAAACTGGTTCTCGAAATGCCTAATTCTTGTGATCGACGCGTTGTTGATTGTTTCGGATCGTCTCTCACACTCTCCTTCTCAACAGCAATATTTTCCGGTGTGCGAACGCTCCTTGGCCGGCCAGAGCCTGGCAGATTTACCACAGAACCTGTTACCTCAAATTTACGCACCAGACAACCGATGGTTGTTTCGTTTGGGCGGTTGTTGCGACCGAAATGTTCACGAAGCGCGCGAAACGTATTTTTTATTTTTGCACCATTTTTGTAGTGCTCTTGAATAACTTTAATGCGGTCTTCAATCGAATACGACTCCATAGCGATCAATGGTAAGCATTCAACTAACAAAATGATATGTCGGTGACAGAAAACAAAGATGGCGTCTATGTCAAATTGACGTTTACTTTCCTGCGTCCCTATTGGACAACCCTTTATTATTTGCACTTGTGTTTTAAAAATTCACCAATCGTATAAAACCCGTCACCAGATAAAAACGATTTCACTTCATATTTAAATTTTTTGTATGTTCTTATATTTTTAAGATGCTGAGGCAGCTCATTAAAAAATATTACACAGTTGTAATGAGGTGAGCGCTTGAAGCGACAGGTGTTGTGCTTGAGGACAGCTAATGTCGCACTATTTCTGGTATTATATGTGTGGTACTGCCCTAGACGCTTGAACTGCTACATGTTTTTCCAAAAGTATAAAAGACACTTAAAAATGTAAATACAAGGTACAGTTAAAATTTTGTGGTTCTACATGTATTTCCAGGCGGAATATTGAAAATTAGACGTATCAGTCGATTTTGTCCTACAAATATTCTGTCTTTGTCAACACTGTTGCCCCATGCCATTATATTATAGCTTATGTGTGAGTATGCTAATGCATAATATACCGTCATCAGTCCTTTCTCGTCTAAGGTGTCTTTTAGTTAGTAGTAAGGCGAATAATGCTTTATTAAGTTTTTGGCACACAGTTTCAATATTGTCAGAAAAAGATAGCTTTAAGTCAAAGTAAGTACCCAAGAGCTTTGCGCAGTTCGAAGTCTTAGTACCAGGAAGTATAGAAAAGTCGTCAGGTAGATGTTTTTGAATGGCGTAGTTCATTATGACGGTTTTGCCTTCATTCAGTATCAGCCTGTTACGTTGACACCAGCCACTAAATTCATCAACATGGGTCACTTTATGTTGAAGCTCTTGAGGATTCTGTCCGTGAACTGTTATCGTCGTATCATCAGCGAACATATACTAAGTGACATATAAATCCGAACACCCAGTTTAAATGGTTTTATTTTAATAAAAGTTGGTGAATGTATTTACCTTACTGTAAATAACAAGTGAAAAAATTTTCAGCCTTATCAGTTGGACATTCCGGTTTTTATACTGCTTTTTTTTAATTCACTAACGCTCTAAAAAGGTTGTTTTCCAATTTAATCGCTAGGAACTTTATTTGGTGTTCTAATTGTAGATTTTTACCTTTAGTTTTAAGACTTGAAGAACTGGGCATTTTTGAGCATTCATCTAAAATATTCAACAAACTTTTACACTTACATTACAGACACCAGACAGCAATAAAGACGTGTCATCTGCTAGATTAAAACATTTACCTATATCGTTGATATAGATGCTAAATAAAGTTGGTCCCAAGATGGATCCTTGTGGCCCACCCACTTTGACAATTGTTGATGTGCATTTCACTTACTATACTAAGTGACATATAAATCCGAACACCCAGTTTAAATGGTTTTATTTTAATAAAAGTTGATGAATGTATTTATCTTACTGTAAATAATAAGTGAAAACATGTTCAGCCTTATCAGTTGGACATTCCGGTTTTTATACTGCTTTTTTTTAATTCACTAACGCTCTAAAAATGAATATTTCAGCCGCAGTAAAGAATCAACGTTGGCGGATTTTGGTTCTTGACATCCTTTACGATCGGTTACGATGCCTAGAGTACGGAGACCTGTACGATTTCGTCAACTTAGTGGGTTTGATAGGGGCCGTATAGTGGGACTTCGGGAAGCTGGACTTTCTTTTCGGGCAATTGCAGTTAGAGTGCAAAGAAGTGTAGACACTGTGGTTAGGTGTTGTTAGGCATGGCTTCGAGAAGGCCGTTCGCAAAGAGCAAGGGGCACTGGACGCCGCCGTAGAACAACAGACCGTGAAGATCGCCGCCTAAGATTATCGGCCTTAAGGGACCGTTTCTCCACTACCAGGTCCATTGCAAATGAATGGTTTGCAGAACACGGAAGACTTATTGGCATGCGAAGTGCTTACCGACGAATGGCTTGTTTTCATACCGGCCACACTGGGTCCTCCCTTTAACTCGAGAACACCGACGTAATCGCCTTGAGTGGTGCAGACAACGGTCACTCTGGGATCAGGAATGGAACAGTATTGTCTTTAGTGACGAGCCTCGATTTTGCTTAGGCATGCACGATGGTCGTGCCAGGGTTAGAAGGCGTCGTGGTGAAAGGAGGAATCCACAGTTTTTTGTTGAAAGATATGTTCATCACACTGTTGGAGTTATGGTTTGGGGTGCTATAGCTTATGGTTCCAGGTCACCTTTAATCTTCATCAGAGGTAACGTGAACGCGCAGCGTTATATCCACGAAGTTCTAGAACCCCATCTTTTACCCTATCTTGACACCCTGGCAGATCCAACTTTCCAACAAGATAATGCCCGACCACATGTTGCAAGAGTCACAATAGACTTCTTTCAACATAATGATGTCACATTGTTACCATGGCCACCAAGATCTCCCGACTTATCCCCAATTGAGCACGTGTGGGATATGATGGGTAGGAGATTGCTCAATTTGCAACGTCCTCCTCAGGCTCTAGAAGCACTTTGAGAGGAGTTGGTGGTTGCCTGGAATGAGATAGGGTGCATCCACTCATTATTAAAGGTCAAACGGCTTTAAAGCAGTGCAATCATTTTGAAATTTTTATCATTTACTTATTATGCTTCATTAAGTACTTATACAAAATTTTATTAAAATAAAACCATTTAAACTGGGTGTTCGGATTCATATGTCACTTAGTATAGTTACCCTCCCCCGCGTGTTATGTAAGACGGCAGATCATTTACGTATAGAAGAAAGATTAGCAGTCCTAGGACAGAACCCTGTGGTACCCCGAAACCAAGATCCGTGGTATTCGATCTAACTGTTCCGATTTTAACTTGGAATTTACGTGCACTCATGTAGGATATAATTAATTTCAGGGGTGTTCCACGAATACGTAGTATCTCTAATTTCTCTTGGAGGTAATCTTTGGGGATGGTATCGAATGCTTTTGATAAATCAAAGTGTAGGGATGCTAGATGTGGATAAATGTACTACAAATAGTGGTATGTTGCTGTTTCTGTAGATTTTGTAGATCGAAATCCATGTTGAGATTCTGTTAATAAGCCTTTTTTTTCAACGAAACAACTAATTTGTACATATGCAATAATTTTACTATACTACTGATTAGCGAGATCTGGCGGTAGTTTTTAGGATCCTCACTGTCTCCTTTTTTCAATATAAGTACCACTATAGCCAGTTTCATTACATCCCGAAAACATTCGAGTTCTATGGACATATTAAACAAGAAAGCAAGAAGATCAACAATTAGGCTCTTTGCTTTG